GCGAGATAATGTATCCCAGGCCACAAAAGCAGGCAAATCACTCTGCATTAAGACTGGACACACAATAGACAACAATGGCTTGCATAAACACTATTTAGAACTATTCACATGGCATTGAAGAGATGGGCGTCGACTCACTATTGCAGCAAAGCCGGAGCATTGTGCAGAGGTGAAAAGAAGTCTAATGAACAGGAAGCCTTATTTGAGAGAGCTGACAGTAACCATACAACAGCCACATTGTGCACTTGCCACCGACGCTGTGGGTCTCTACATTAGGAGAAGTGATGAGAAAGTACCCCCAAAAGACACAGTCAGCCCCTTGGACCCGCGTAAATGCAAGCACACAATAATGGCGCACACAAGCTGTCCCCACCTTTACCCAAAGCTGCACGTTTACATGCACAGAACATCAACTGCTCTCAAGGCCCAGGATAAAAGCCCCCGGCCAGATGGAACTTTGAAGTACAGTTGGGTTAGTTTACCACCAAAGACCACAATTTGAGTGTAGCCCCAGCTTAAATGTGTGTCATACATTTTAAATTATATCGAAGTCTGCCTGCAGAAGTTAGAACTCTGAATGTGGGTGACCAGGCCTCCTCCCCTCTCACACATATTCACACTCACACTATGCCCCTGCCTCAAGCTTCATCAATTCTCCACAAAGGCATGACATCACCAATAAGCACAGGCTCTTTTAGCTTCAAGCAATAAGCTTTATTTACTGATGAGATAAGCCCTGTCCTATTGTTTAGCTCTCCACTCCACTCCTTTATGTCCCAGCTGAAGAATCAAATGGCACTTTTTGAAGTTGACGGAGCATGGCTAGGATTTAAAGCTAAACCATGCAAAGGGGTTTCCTATTCGGAGGCCTTTCACTGGACAACAACAGCCGGTTTAGTTCAAAGAGGCCATGCCAGGTAGGAGGATATCACTTGTTACTTACAGATTGCTTTTACACCAAATTAATGGGTCTCTCACCACATGTGGTTGCACTTGCAAACAGAATGTACCAACTTCTAGTGCCGCTCGCCAAAGCCCCAAGAGTTTACAAACCATAATTGTCAAATCCGTGCACCATCTATAATTATGGGTTGTACTGCATTAGCTGGCAAGACCTTCAGAGAGTGGTCACTAAACTGCTGAGCAATGATGATCCAGCCTGACCATTGCAAACAGCACAAAGCAATGTTGTCTTGGTTGATTTTATTTAGAAAGTTTTCATAAAGTTGCCAATAGTGCTTCTACGTATACTTAAACTGAGTCTGTCAAAGAGAGAAACTTATTCTAACTAGGTTGTCACCAGAATCCAAAATATATGGCATCTAGATGAGAGAAATTGAGCTCCTATTTTTACCAAGATGAAAAGCCATTTTTATCGCAGTATATCCAGTGTCGTGGCGTGTATTTTAAAAATGTGTTGTTTGTTTTTCTTCTTTTTCCACATCGAATCGTGTCAGGTCTTGGGAACTTGTCACACAGTCACTTTAGAAAAGGCTGCGTCTCTGGGGATTCGCTCCAGGCTGCGCCCCCCTCTCTGCCCGCCCCATGTCAGCGCTGTTACGAACAAAGCCCGCCATAGTCGATTCTCCAAATTTCACTACCGCCTGTCGAAATCCTCCCTCTTTCTCTTCTCCTCAACTTTACGTACTTTATGCCTGGGATCACTCGGATCTAGATTCAGCTTACAAACAAAAATCTTCTTTCAACACTGGTTTTGACACTCCCCAACTCTGAGCCATTCATGCGGCTGCAATTTGTTCCTATTTGTCAAAACTGCTGTATGCGTTACAAAAGAAACGCTGGCACAACATAAAGTTTATGAAAAACATTGTCTTCTCAACCCTAAATGGCCTTGAGACAACTTATTTATAGAACCATGACAAAACATCCTTAAACAATTTGCATCAGCGTCAGTTGTTGATCTGCTATTCTTTTCACCACTGACAATAGTACATCTTTGACTGAATAGAGTTATATCCACAAATCAATGTATCACTAGTCTCTTAAAGTGCTCACAGCTACAGTTTGAATTCATCATTTTTATTTTCCTTTCACATTGTGCTGACTCTTATTTTGTGTTTTTATTTCCTCATTGTGCGGGCAGCTAGGTTTTTCAGACGTTTATTTATTAAGGCTATATCAGCGCTGTGTTGCTGCTATTGCTATTCAGATGCGTTGCAAAATGTGGCTATTATGGGGAGGCGTAGCAAGGTATCTGCTTAATAATAGTTATTGTGGAAACTTTGTTGGTGCCATTCTTGCATGGGGCTGTTATCGTGGGCCGAGCAGAGGAGATATATGCTGACTGTGATGTAGATAGCACTGAGTATGGCTATTGTGTAGTGCGGTCCCAGATAGGGTTTGGAGTCTGCTGTCAGTGCTGTGTCAGGTGCACTGGGTACCTCCGGAGACTCCACTGATGCTCCAGCTGCTCTGCGCCTGCCGCTCCCTGGGCCCCTGTCCGCCAGCCTGACACCCGCCACAAAGTAATCACACATCACAGCGTTTAATCACTGAAACAAGCACTCCAGAGGACCCCACTGTCAATATCCCACTCTCTCATTATCTGTTTGGATTGCACATCCACACTGTCAGATAAACAGGGTGGAAAATTAAGATTAAAAATATGGTAATTTCATTTCAGGCAGCCTGCTCCCCTCACTGGCCCATTATGCTATTGATTACCTCTGAATTCAATTTCTCTTTTCAATGTAAACTTTAATCTATTCGTGAGCCAACAATCCGACTCCCAAGGGGCTATTTGAGAGTAAGTAAGCATTTAATATGACGCCGGCTAAAGATTCACTGGCTGTAATGAATTGTGTAAATCACTCAGCGTTTAAAGGAGCAGGTTGTCTCACAGTTCACGACCCAAATCTAGGCCCTGGTTAAAGACTGGCTTTTATAGTGCGCTAAGTGTTTACTGACAGCCATCTCTGAATGTATAATCACAGCTCCGCTCCTTGTCTCAGCGAAGGCAAATTAAGCAGCTCTTTTCTAATTGAGCTGGCGATGATGAACATTTAATTTAAATTAGGGCTTGACTGTGACAGCAGTGCACATTAAAACGTTACAACCGAGTTAATGGTTTTGCACTGTAAAATAATCCCTTGACTCAACACAGTAATGACAGGGTTGTTTTCCTTTTCAACCACTCACCAATTTGTAGCATTGTGGGCCCGAGCAGTTGTAACCGCTGATCTGAGACAAACATCATTCAGCCCATGGAGGTACCCAAGCAGGAAGAAATGGTTTGTGAGTCACTGTAATGTAAGCAGGTAAAGAATACAGAAAACAGTCAAGGATTTTATAAACACTTTTATTATGGTATTATTTTATGTAAACAAATATATCACATTTTATAAAGTTAATACTATTTGTAAAGTGTGCAAAATGTGCTGTTTTTCCTTTACTCTATGAGAGGGCTGTAGTTAATGATTATTTTAGTACTCAACTAGTCAGCAAGTTTATTTTATTTATTTATTTATTTATTAGTCAAACTACTATTTCTATTGTACAAAGAGATTTAGCAAATACATTTAAACTAAAAAGTCTTCTAGAGTCTTCATGATCTAGAGAACAATTTTTTAAATTTTTAAAGTTCACAATTATTCTGATTAATCATTGCAGCCATTCTCTATAACACTAGGAAATAACATCCATCAGTAATGTAACATAAATAGATTTTGGCTCTAGTTTAGTTTTGATCATAAACTTTTGTCCAGACTTTATTTCACATGAATTTTGTCAAATCAAATATCTGTGTGATCTCTTCATTCTTTACACAGTTTACACAGGTTACATGTTTTCAAAAGTGAAACTATTACATGTTAAAATATGACAGCATATGTTCATTTAGAAAGTCCACCTGGAACTCAAAAATAATTAAAAATAAAATAAGCCAGCCCTGTGGTTTAATGCTTCATTGAGTCACCTATACTTGCTTGGAAATTCTACATTCATTATGCTTTGGAGCTGAAGTAGACATAAAACTACAACAAACCAGCAAACCCATCCAATAAAAACAGTGCAGTTCCAACCACAATCAATACTCTGATTAAGGCAGACGGAGCAGCATTGGCTTCCTCTCTGTATCTAGTCCAATGATTCTCCAAATGAAAACATCACAAACATTACGCCCTATAGCAAACCTTGGAGCACCAGAGACTGAGAGAGGCTATTACTGATGTCTAAACACACAGACATATAAGATCAGTAAACAACAGTGTAGTGGCATGCTCTCAATAAAGGCACATTTTCAAAGACATTCACTTCTAATCTACATCACACACTTAGCACCACAGAGACTTAGACACTGCAAAACTGCAATAGGCCCACAAGTACGTTTACATGCAGATTTGGACTATGCTCTTAAATTGATTCAAATTTGTCACATTATGTCACCACAAATTAACTTTAACAAATTTGATTTCTAATTTTAAGAAGTCAAAGGTGCACTTTTACTTGTGGAAGGTCTGGAACCATGGAGATTAAACTTTATATCTTGCATTTTTTTCTAATACAGGTGTTTTTTATTGATTAAAAAGTTTGAAAACATGCATTTGTACTGTGAACGGGTATGCCTCTCCACAGATCTGACCTGTAACTTGACCTATTAGTGCCACCTGCTTCTCTACATGGAGATGAGTTTAAATTCATAGGGGAACCTTCCAGGTAATTCAGCAACCTTTCCAAAAAGCAAGCTGGTGCTGGACCTTCCATTAGAAAAGTTACATAGTGCACCAAGTCACGTGACTTCATCCAAGGCAACAATCCTAATTTTGCATAACTTGAAACCCAGATACATGTTTTGTCAATCCCAAGAAATTAGATCAGTTCATTAGAAAAAAGAAGAACAAGAATATATTTGTATGCAAAACTTCAATTATAATCAGTCTCAGGCAATACATCTAGTCTATTCTTTCATGTAAACGTACTTCATGTAACACACAAGCCAGTCTAATATCTACTACAGGATTTGGTCAGACAGGGCCACAGTGCCTCTCTTCAGTGTCAAAGAGCCGTCTCAAAGATGACATAAACGTCCCCGGCGCTGCTCTCCTCTGTTGCTCCTCGCTTTTTGTTCATGTAAACCTGAAAGCGCATCAAGGGAGAGCAGAGTCACACACAACACCAGCAGCCCAATCTACGCCGCCATCTAAAAAAGGTGTGATTTAGTATGTCAGATCTGATTTGAAACCGGAGAGAAGGGATTTGCCAGTCACTGAAGCATGCGAAAGTGGCTTATTCGACCTTATAAACAACTGTGCTAAATACACATCGGAGCTTGACTTAATTTTCTCTTACAAGCGACGAGAATGACATGTTGTTGAGAATAATACAACAAGAGAAAGTTTTGCAGAATGGAGGAAAACAGGTTGAGATATAGCAGCGTCTACTCAGGGCTTTTCTTTCACTGCAGCCCGCTATCAGATTATTGAATGTATTTAAACCTTGACTGACAACTATAGAAACTTGACACACAACATGCGGGCTGTCTCAGTCTTTAATAAGTGGTGCTAGACAGTTATGGATGCTGGTGTAATCTGATCGGAGGTGAGCCCCCTACAATAAAGAGAGAATAGGGCTTGAACAATGTCACTACCAATCCACCAGTGTGCTGTGGAAGACGCCAGCAAATAATACCAGTGAGTCTTTCAAATCAGTATTTTACTCATTCCACTCCTTGGGCAGAAGAAGATAGAGTTCCACTGATAAATTTGTGAGCGGGGACAGAGAGAAAATGAAATGATGCCTACTTTTTCTTATTTCACAAAGACCTGTTTGAAGTTGCTATATGGTATCTGTAGTCCCAGACAGATGCACATAAAATGGAATTGAACAATGAATAGCCAACTCTTATCTGGCCAGTGTCTGAGGGGGAAATACATCACAAATGAATTTCGCAGCGGGAAGAAAATATGGACATTCTCTATTACAGTAATCCCCATAGAAAGTTTATCCCAAATCGCGATGAAGTTAAACCCAATATTCCCAAATAGATACAGTGCAAAGAAAGCTGCTTTTCTAGAATCATCTCTCAAATGATCTGAAAATTACATTATGAAAAGGCAAGATTATATGGCGAGTTTTTTCTCTGATAGCATCGGAAAATGTGAAATCTACAAAGGGACTATTTCTTCAGTTGAAATTAATGTTATGGTGTTTCGCTTCGAGTGGGCACTTTTGAATTAAAATGGTAATCAAGTGGCATTGCATTGTCAGGGCTATGCGTGCTTATTATTTTGGAGCAGAAGTCTACAGTTAGAGGGAGAGTGTGGGATTAGGGTGCTTTTGCTGGACTCTATTTAGCGACAGGGCTAACTGGGAGGGTGTGGCTTTGCAGTGCTATGCTAATGCTATGAAGCGCAACAGTGACAGCCTTCTCAGGTTTCAGAAGAAAAATTTCTATAAATTTTTTAATAGAAATTTTCAAAAAATTCAAATATTAAGAGTGCAGCTACGTGCTAACTAATGTCCATAATGCAGTCATTTTAAATCCAAGAAGGTAGTTTAAAATACAAGGTTCTGTGAAATGTTTCAATAACTCTGTGGTTTATAAAGTTTCAGAAACAGATTTTAAGAAAGCTAATTAGATGATAAATGTTTTTATAGCGCATTATTCTATAGCACTTTTCCACCTTCAAGGCACTCAAAGCGCTTTACAACAAGGAACCACTCACCCATTCACACAGACACTGGGGGCAAGGTGGGTTAAGTGTCTTGCCCAAGGACAAAATAACAATATTCATCTGTGGGAGCTGAAATCACACTGCCAACCTGTGGGTCTGACCGCTCAACCAGTGGTGTTTTATGTCAAGAGCAGGATTCGAACTGCCAACCTTCACCAACTTTACCAACTGAGCTACTGCCCTAGCTACTAGCTGATTATCCCCGATCAAGCTTTTGCACTTTTTTTTTTTTTTTTTCAAAAGTCTATATGAAAAATGAATGGGAAATTTAGTTCCCGAAGTACATGGGGTGGGCGTTCACTGTTGAGCTCCATGGTTACCTGTTCGGCTGTGTGGAGCAGGGCGGCGGCCTGAGCTCTGCCGGTCTGTTGCACCATTTGGTAAAGCAGGCTATGGTGGTTCTGTAGCAGCACATGGGGCTCGTCATACTCCTGGATTCGCCCGGCGTCTAGAACCTACAATCACAGAACAATGCAGGGTGTGTGTGCGTGTGGCAGTCTGTATACTTTAGTTAAGGGAAAACTAACATTTCAGCTGTTTCTCTGCTGAGCCATGCACGCAGACAGAGCCAGATGAATGGGCTAAAGACCCCTCCATTTTACATGAGTCACAGGGACAGCAAACACTAGGCTATCTCCAAGCGACAGGGCTATAGACGGTGAATGCACCCGGCGAGATGCAGTGAAAGTCAAAGTGTGCTGACGCTGACAGACTCTAGCTCCCCCATATATCCAGGTATTTATTCTGCATTTCAGCAGCTCAAGGGTGGTCCTCAGTCAAATCCAACAATCACACCTTTAAGGGACTCCAGTAAATTACCATCATCGTGTTATCGTCTTGTGCCATGTAAGCCGCACAAAGAGTAGGGTCAGTTAAAGAAGGAGGGGGAAGCCTGCAATTATTTCAGAGACAAATTTTAACAGTTGATCTCCTTAGAGCTATAACAAGTAGTTTGTAAATAGCTAAGCTTCAAGTGTATGTTCTGAAAGGGTAGCTTCTGGAAACTGCAGTCATAGGAATATTAGTAAAAATGAAATAACTTGTTTGAATTAGGTTTAGGGAAACTTTCTTAATTAAAATGTGCTATGTTTAATCAATTTAGTACTGGACTTCATATGGGAGTTCGGAATGCCTAAGGTACACAGCAGTTTAGGGCTGTTTAGCACAAGTGTGAGTGTGAACTGATCCTGCTGTTACTTATCCAACCTTTCTCATCAGTCTGGACAGCCTCTAGGTCATGCTCTGTGCTCTAGACACTTGACAAATGTTGCTACGAATGGCATCAATTGGCACCTCTGCGGGTAGTAGCAGGACAGGCCAAAGATCACACGGTCTGAGCGCGGGGTGAGTGCTGTGAGGAAGAAATCAGCCCAGCTGTTTCAATATGACAAAAGTGAATGAAACTCTGTGAAGAACTCTTTCATTATTTGGGGTATTTTTGGTCATAACACAGTGTAATGTGTTGGACAATGGAAATATACTGTGTTCTTACTTACCAGTATTCTGTCACAGTCAATAATAGTGTGGAGCCTGTGAGCTATAGTGAGCACTGTACAGTCTTGAAACTTGTCCCGGATCGTCTGCTGGATGAGGCTGTCGGTTCTAAAAGGAACAGGGAACACAACACCTAAGCACAAAATGCACTCTTCCTATGGGCCCTTGGGCAGGGATTTCACTGAGCGCAACAAAAGCTCATCAGGGACACAGTATGTGCACAAGGAGCACAAAACACTGCAGCTTCAGGTCAACTTACTTTGTGACTGAAAAGTTAGAAATGAACCCCTTTTATTTGTGTACAAAATAACAATAGTTAACACAGTTTATTTGGTCTTTTACAGGGAATAATTCTGCTGCGATAAAATGGGATTAAAAAAGCATACTTTCACTGATGAACAGTGTTTGCTCAACCCTAACCTTGGGTCCACATTAGCCGTGGCCTCGTCAATGATGAGGATGCGGTTCTTCCGGAGAATGGCCCGGGCCAGGCACACGAGCTGCCTCTGGCCCACACTGAAGTTTGCTCCGGCCTCACTCAGGAGCGTCTCTAGTTTACTGGGCAGCTCCTCCACCACCACCTTCATCTGCACCTGCAGAGAGGGAGAGCAGACCCCAGCCCTTCATTACACCCACATAAAGGCTTCCTGTGGGGATGTCTTTAAAGAGCCATCCAAACACACCCATTAACCGCCTGGCACAAAGCAGGGCCAGGTCTTCTGATGACCTTGGCCAGTGCTCTCTTGTGGCCAGCCTCTAGCTTTAATCCAGGCCACCAAACCCATTCAGAGGCAGGAGTAGGAGCTGAAGCCCTTCGCTGTGGGGGGAGCCTTCATCCTGGTTGGCCTGACTGCCCAAACACATCTCCCCAAGCACTTTCAATGGCTCCCAGTTACAAGCCGCACATTTAGCTGGGCCCCATGGCTCTAATGGGATTTCCCCCCATGACTTGTGGCGAGCAGGGAGACTGAATGGCAGCATTGTACCGGGGGACAGAGGGATCCCCCCTGGGTTGCTGAGGGGGAATCATTGAGAGCCACGCTAGTACCTCTTGGAGTGCATTCCACAGGTCCTCATCTGTGTGCTGGCTGAATGGGTCCAGATTCTTCCTCATGGTGCCTGTGAAGAGTACTGGGTCCTGGGGATAGATGGATATAGAAGGAGAAGGCCGTGGCCAGTTAAGATAATGACAAGGGGAAGACATCTGAAAGGGTTAAGATAGGCTTTATAGAGCACCGGTAGGCTATGTGTGAGGGGAAGATGTTCACAAAAGACCTGCTAAACTATTGAGCTAAATTCAATGAACCATCCAGCTATTCTTCAGTAAGTTGATCTTTTTACTAAGAAAACTAGAGCTTGGCCCCTGGCAGAGCACTGTAATGCATGTGTCCTCCTATTACATTATAAAAAAAATATCAGTCCATTACAGGTTATGAAAGGACACCTCTGTATCATGTCAACAATAATTATGGTAAGCCACACACTTGTATCATGGCTCCACTGACAAACAACCTCCCTTTTAATTGTAGTGCTGAGGGAAGAACTAATAGGTATTAATTTGACCTCTATATCAAATGTAGAATGCATTCTCATTTTTGTCTTTACATTATTGTTGTTTGGTTAAAATATGTTTGGCAACCTTATCTGGCAATTATTTCTTGTTGCTTTCCAGGCAAAGTGATAAATTGAGCCTACTTACTCTCAAGATATGGATCTGACCTCAAATCGAGATAGCAACTGTGCACCTGGCAACCGTGCGATTAGAGCTTGAGCCAGAGTACACAAGTGCACAATGGGTCTAAAAGGGTGAGTGTCCTGCATTAATGCTATAGATTTGATAGTGTGAATGGGGCTCACAGTCCACGCCTAGATCTTTGCTCTTATAAAGGTCAGGCGGTTTTAAAGGCAGGTCTGTGCCAGTATTTCTGATACACAAACTACTACTGCAAATGCCTTTCTTCTCTCTTCTCACACCTACATGCAGGTTGGAATAATAACTACTCAATTTGTATTCGACTTCAGAATATACAGTTTCCATCCCAACTGCCTATGGCTTAGAAAATGTTCCGCCTCCTTACTTCCAATCCGTCACCAAAAATAAGGCCTTGTCATTTAGCCAACTGAAGTCCCAATTCAAGCAAGTTTTGTGACACACTTTAATTGAGGGATTCACTGTGAGGTTGGAAAAACTGCTTTCAAGAACAGCTTTCACATGGGCCGATTATGTGCTCCACCAATTCTAAGCCCTCTGTTTGCCACAGAACCCATTTTTACTAATACATTCACATCAATTCAATAGAAAGGGAATACATTCTTTTTTAATGTCATATGCAAATAAAAGCTTATCATAATAAAATCTGAGCAGGAATATAATGAAACTCCTCACATGTAATATATAGTATACTAGAAATAGCATTTCATATCATGATTATTCTGTATATGAAATATTGAAAGTCGATTTATCTATGACATCTAGTGAGTGAGTAAAAAGGTTCAGATGGATTTGAGCAAATGCATGACATGTCTTTCTGTGTAAGTTTTTTACATCAAAAGCCTTGGCACAGACAAACCCGTCTCTTCAGAAGTGGTAGGAGTAGAGATCATAAGTATGCCAGGTGCTATATGTCACATACGACTGGGCGTGCAGAAAAAGTTTTGACTCCCTACATCTGCCCTCTAGGAAGAGCTCCACAAAATCACATCAAACACGCATCACACCCATCTCAAACTACTTTGGATGAAGAAGGGAAACTTTATCATAAGTAGCACCAACGCCAGGAAGCTTTCAAATGCAGCATTAATGAAATTGTTTTGGGCTGCACCCAGGTTTGGGCTAGGTGACAGTGTACATGGGGACTGTTAACATGGAGCAGACTTCTTCTAAGCAGCTTTCCCATGTTCGGGGGGTAGAGGGCTAATCCTCTGTCAGGAGCGGGGAGCTGCTCTCTTCACAGCGCGGGCCGTGGGAGTCTCCCCTCCCTCCTCTCCACTGACACTCACCCGCAGGCTGGCATTTTCTTAATGCTGTATCAGTTTCAACAAGCGGAAATAAAGTTAAACTGTCTCAAGGCATCCGTTTGTCTCACTTTCAGAAATCCCCTGAGTGACGCCTGTAATTCTCCGCACTTGTTTTAGCTGTTAAAAGCCACGCGGAGAAAAAGACCAAAACCAAAGAGGTTTGTGTTACAAGTGTTCATGTGCCAGTTTTCTTACTTCTGCAGCTACTGGAAAGTCAAAGAGTGCCCTTTAACCTTCTTACAGCCAATAAGTAACCTTATCAGATGATATCATAATATAAACTATGTTTAATAATACATTAGATGTGCCATAAACCCTTTGCTACATGCAGTACACAGTAGAGGAAAGATGGTGCTTTTTATTCCTGAATTTAAATGGTACATACAAAATACACTCCGTAAAGAATACCAAGTTGCTACAAGCCAAAACTGTATTTCTTTATGCTATAAAATATCTGTAAGTGTGGATATTTTTCTAATCCCACTTGGCCTCCTCTATTGATTGTGAATGTCTACCTGTGGGATTATGGACATTTTCTGGCGAAGAGTGTGCAAGCCGATCTCAGAAGTCACAACACCATCAATCATTATTCTTCCCTCGGGTTCTGCCAGCCGGAACAAGGCCGAGATCAGCGAGCTTTTCCCAGCACCAGTGCGACCCACAATGCCAACCTGAGAAAAGAGGACAGACTAATTTAACCTGGTGAAAGGTAAAACATTAGGTGCTGACAATAAAAACTGCATAAACCTTACACATTTTGTACAAGTAGTCATGTTAAAATTTGTGTTTTGACTTCACGATGGTAATTTCTGAATTATTCACAAGTGCAAATAAAAATGTGTGTAATCATTTGTGATTGTATCCTAACCAGTAGATTTAACCAGCATGTATTACAATGATACAGATAACAAAGTTTTACATATTGAGTCTTAACATAGGATTATTTTGAGCTTGTCTCATATAATGTCCTTAAGGGGCCCATATTATACTATTTTCTAATCTCTGGAATTGCCAATCTCTACTAAACAAAAGATAAAAGGCAGCTGTTAACTTGAAAACTACCACTACATGTCATCACAAAGTGTAACAGCATTTTGAGCTTTGGAGATGAAATATGTGTGAATCAAACAAAACACAACTCCAGGTATGTTTTTAATGAGGTAACAACATTCTAACATGGCTTAAAGCCTTGAGTAATATGGGACCTTTAACTCATTGAAATGTGTATTTTTTACATAGTCATGCACTGTCTCAGCCTGTAGTGAGGAATGACAGCTGTCCAACAGGAGCTGGAGTTTTCCTTGAGAAGGTTGTCAGGGGAACAGTCAGGAGTCACAAAGGTTTACACCTTCAATAGCATGCTACAGAGATCCCTCCCATGGGCTGTCAGAGCCAAGGCCTCAGCACTTATCAACCCAACCATTGTAAAATCAGCCGCCCTGGCCGACCACAGCCATGCAAAATACACCCCCGCCCACATTAAATACAATTTCAATCATCCTCAACCATCTCCCTTTGCCTGCCTCTCTCTCCCTCCACTATCTCTCTTCCTTATAGAGAATATACAGTTGCTTTCACTTGGTAGCTCAAAATGCAAATACAGTGACAAATGGATCCACTTGAACAGTCTTAATTACATGATATGTATTCCATGAATCACAAATGCTATAGTCCCGAAGCTTCAGACGCACAATATGGTGTCCTTTTAATAATTGATTTGGGAATAATGCCACATAGAAAGAACCAAATAGTGGCTATACAATCACAGCATTCTGAGTGGAGCATGGTTTGTGGATGGCTGCACACACACAATTAAAATGAAAATACAAACCTTCTCTCTTGATGAAAATGTGATGTTCAGATTCTTCAGGACTAAGGGCTTGCTGGGGCTATACGAGAAGTTTACTTCGTCAAATGTGATGGAGCCTGTCTTGGGCCAGTCACATGGAGGCTGTGTGTCAGTTTCCCATGATGCTTCACTCTCCAACTTGGCATACTCGACCACCCTCTCAACTGAAGTCATCTATGGAGGAATATTTGAAATTGTCATTGTAAAGTATGTTCCAAATATTGCTATAACTACTTCTCACCATATTCTCAATCTCTGCACTTTGTCGCACCCCCCACTGAAACATGCCAGTGAGGGTGAGAGCATAAGATAATGCGAGACCCACAGCACCAGCATCCAACTCTATAAAATCAGAGCTGTATTTCAACAGGGAAAAAAAATCTCATGTTAAAATTATTTATAAGCAAAAATACTACCTTCTCTGAGGTAAATGCAACCAAAAGCCGTAATGGTGACAAAAGTGGAACAAATGCCTTCAAGACGAATTGCAAACCAACGAGAGGTAGCAAGGAAAAGGAACCAGGCCTCTGTCAAAACAACACAAAAACATCCAACTCAAATACTGATAAACAAAACATAACAAAGAGCGGCAAAAACATTAAGTGTCAAACCTGAGTGAAGATCCTGGTAGTCATCAAACATTTGCTGAAAATTGTGTTGGGCTTTAATGGCACGGATTGTAATTAAGCCTTGAAGGGATGAAGAAAGATGAGAAAAAACAGGGCTCCGAGCTGGAAAACACACATTAAGACAACAGTATTTTATTATATAAACAAGTATGTGCAATATTTGCATTAAAGGAACATTAGTTAGGATATGATAGAAGCAGGTCAGCTGGTAAAACTAAACATACAGGAAGATATTCAAAATGAAAGAATTCAAAATGTTATTAACAGGTTTTGTTTTGTTTTTTTAAGATTTCCAGCTTAATACATTTACTTGCAACACGCTTCAGTGCTATGTAGTCATTCAAATTTGAATTCAATTGGGCAAATCCTTATACTCATTTTGTAAAGGGTAAATTTGAGTAGCCTTTTGTTTCTATTTGTTCTTGAAATAAAAAGGAAAATAAAAACCCCAATGTTTCCTGTGAGCATTCAAATAGAACGTTGTTCTCTGATAGAAACTGTTGGTCAATGGCCATTTCAGCTCATGGTCTCAGATAAAATAAATGCAGTGGGCTCTGGCCTGGTCATGGCTGCTTGGCTTTTCTCCCATTGTAAGTGATGTCATGAACTCCAGTCTCTCGAGAAAACTGCGTGTGGCCGAGCCATAGACTGCTGCCACCTTTAGCCTTTATGCTAATGACCATGGCATTCTTCAATGGTCTATTAGCATTCCTGTGGTCTGCTTTTGTCTTATACAACAAATGAACATGCCCAGACTCCTACCCAAAAGGAAAAAGAAATTACTGGTAGATTCCAAGCGCTTGATATCCCTAGAGGTCTGCAGGAAGTAGCAGCGCAGAAACAGGAAAACAGCAAGAAGAGGAAGCACTGGCAGAAGAATCCAAGGTATGATGGCACCAGCTACAGCAACTACTCCAACAACCTGGAGCAGAATCTGGTCAGAGTAAAAAAACAAACAAAAACAATAAAATCAAATACAAGTAATGAACAATACTTGCTGTTTGCAAGGGATGTGTTGTGGGAAGTAGAAGAGAGACCTTTGAGTGGCATTTTGTGAGTGGGTCAGGGCCACACAGTCAGGTAACAGCAGGTTATGGTACTGAGGTTATGTGATTCACAGTGTGAAAGGAAAACCATCACAGCTCTAATTCTCACTTAGGAGCAGGTGAGAATTTACCACTTGGCCACTGCAGCTCATATCCGCGGCTCCCCTGGGCTTCCCCTTCAACACTTCTGGCCCATAAGCCCGGCTGGCACAAGAGCCGGCAAACAGACCTGGCCACAGTGACTGGAGGCTCTGGGAACCACACACTGGATGTCTGATACATCACACTCACACCACACTGCCCTCAACAACACCATGACTCATCAGGTACAGCATGACACTGTCAAAACAGAAGACCAGAGGGGCTCTTCACACTGTTATTCTCTGACAGATTGAGGTAGGACATCCTGATTGGTGATCCTTTTTTATACAATGTTCATGACACACCACTGCAAAACTATAACAATATATGTAATATCGTAAACAAAGTTGAGTTTGTTACCTATCTTCAGAAACACAGCTATTACATATTTAATATTTAAACACAAAGAGGTTAAACATGTAAAATGTCTGAGCATCAATTACTACAACAAAAAAGAAGTATCTTCAAGTGGCATTTTCCTGAATAAAAATGAGCGCCGGACCAGTTCTCCACAGCTGAAAGTGTCATATCCTATCACTAACTGATAAAACTGAAACCTCACACCCTGAAATTAGACACATCCGAAAAGATGAATTCTAACACCTAGAGATTAGGATCTTACTGTTACCTTGAGTGGTCTGTGACTTGCCCGAAGAGATGTAAATTTAATTTAGCACCTTAATTACGGATGTTATCTGCCACTTAGGCAAACATTTAAGCATGATCACTTTCAGTGTAGTTTTGTGATCAAAAGCCACTCAAATCCATTTGCTGTTCAGATAAGAGGGTATTACTACTCTAACTATTGCTGAAGTGGAGCCCACACAATCAAACTGTGAGTGGAGGCTACTGAGCACAACTGATCCTGAGAATTTCACAGTACATAAGTTTCAATCTGGGCTTTGATGGAAGGCTACCAGACTGCAAAGTGAGATGCTAGCATAAACATTTACTCCATGATATCCTGCTTTCTTCTGAGAAAAAAAACAAGAAACAATTGGATATATTTTCTTAATATATTTTTGTGAATTTTGTTTTGCTTTTTTACTTTTACGTTCGTTTTTTTCAGAAGATGGAAGGGCTGAAAAACAGTACAATCGTATCACCTCACCTATGTTCATTTCTATTGGTTTGTATTGATCTTCAGTGACACTCAATCACTTTTGCCTTTGGGGTCAATTAGAAGTTACTAAATGCCCATATTGTATTAAAGACAGGCTTATCTGACGCTGGGGTCATGTGAGGGGACAGAAGAAGAACAGGATCCATTAGATAGTGGTGCTGCTCCCGGGGGCCAGCTGTCGCCAAGGCCTCTGTTTGATGTGACCCGTTGGCGTGGTCTACTGCTTTATCGTGTCCACATCGGGAGCACCGTGACCCCCACCCACACTACACACACTGCTCTGATAACAGATCAGCTCAGTCTGGGTTCATATCTGCAGCCCAGCCTCGCAGGAAACAGAAACCTCCCAGAGCCACATCCCACCGCACAGAGGAGGGGAGAAAAGGATGAAAGGCTTTGTATACAAACAGTTTAAATAAAGAATTAGCCTTAATTGCTCTTTAGCTGGAAAAGAAAGCTAGCGCGCGCACGTGATTCAGTGGGTAAAGCAAATGGACGCTCCGCTGTGTCCAAAGACCATTCAGATCTCGGCTCACCCTAATTGCTTTATTTCCTAAGTGATTCTATCGGCCCTTTGATGTCCAAGTAAATGTTGAAAATTGAAGTTAATTACAATATTAGTGTTGAGCAGTGATAACGGCTGTTGTTTGGCGGCAGAAAATAAACACATGCCTTAAACATCCCTGAGGACAAGAGGAGTCAGAAAGCTTTTTTCATCCTCCCTTTATTTACTGACAGCGTGCGATATTGGCCCATGGGAAAACAGTGCAAACAAAACGGGAAATGAGGGGAAAACCTGGTAGAGAAAAATCCTAAAGAAGGTCCTCTGTCACTGCTGGAATTTTTTTCACTCCACACTTTCCATGACAGACTGCCACAATAAGCTGCAAGGGTCAGTGGTACTGAAACAAAACAGGGCTGTTCCACTTGGTCCCCGGGACAATACAAGTGACCCAATCCTTTCTCCTCTGTCTAAGGGCTTTATTTTAGCATTAAATGCCCAGATGCGGAGGCCTTTCTTCAGGAGAAATGACTGTAGACACCTCCTTCACATGAGGCATTTTCACTTCATAAAGCTGCAGTCAATGTGTTTTGTGAGTGTGAGGAGGGTCTGACACATACTGTGGTGGTCTCAGCGCTGTCTACATTGGTGGTTCAAGTAGTCCAAGGATTAGGCCTTTGTGCTGTGTGAAAAGGTAAAAGAAGTCACTTATTTGGGTTCAGTCAAGCTGTTGATTTCCAGGCCCATTTTGGATATAAGAGAAAGGCTTTGAAATGTGCTCTCTCTCACTCTCTCTTGCTACTATAAATCACTGTGTCTGGCAAATTCATTCATGTTTTCTCCCACTCTGTTCAAAACAATACAAAAGGATTTCAAAGACACAACAAATCGCAAATAAAAAAGTCACTCAGAAGAATCCAAATTACCCGTATTTCCGTCATACCAACATTGGGAGATTTAGGACTTGAGACACTATGTTGGGTAAGTTCACAGGCTTTTAGAGGCCTGGCTCTGTGACTCACAGCAGCTGAGGAGCTGGACCACAGCACCGCGGTGGACCACACATGCACAAAGTAGAAGCTTTGAGCTGCCAATAATCACCATCAAATCACCATGTAGTAGTTATGAGCTGCAATTAAGCAGACATGGAAAAAAAATGTTTTAATAGTGTTAACTATTTAGTCCATATATTATACTATTCCATTCGTTTTCAATTCACTAGTTGTCATAAAACAAATGTTGGAAATAGAACTTGTCCAATGTTTCTCATGGTAACCTGTGTAGTGCCTGGAGCCAGTGCATTCTTCCCTTCTTCTGTCACGTTGTGGTAAAGAACCAGAGAAAGCCAGTGAAATCCCATCCTACAGCACTCACAGTTACGTCAGCAGTTCTCATATCCCACAAAGCCACTAAAGAGGCCTAACACACAATGTGCCACAATATAGAGACTCACAATGATCCACCCGCCAGTGTTTTGGGACAATAGGCATCTTTGCCTTGGTGTCTGTGTGCACCTTTGGTCCTCCGCTGCTGAGGTTGCTCTTTAGACTAATTTAACACTCTTAGAGATAATTATGCTTTTAACAGTATATAATGATCTATTGTGAATTTTTTACAACAATCATTTCATTTTACAACAAAAAAGTTTGATATAAGTATCAGCTGTTGTTATGCTGACAAAATGAATTTATGTATTTTTAAGAAGACCGTGGAATGCAGCTTGGGACCCCACAGTTAGTGGTGTGACTTGGTCAAGAGCCTTCACACAAATCCTCCAGTGAAAAAGCCTTGTATTCACCCCTCATTGTCTTGCCCTCCTCTTCTGCCCCCTCTGTGAAAATAGAGGCAACCCAGGATTTAAAGGTCAAGTCCACACAATAGCTGACAGTCTTCAATGCCTGAGGTGTTTTTAATTGACATTTCTGTCTTTGTCCCATGACCATAAAGTTTAAAGAGAGTCTTTCCCCAATATACTAAATTACTGCTAAATGGGGCCTGTTTAAAAAATTGGTAGTGGGGTGTAACTGGGCTCTCCCAGCTGGAGGGAATCCCCTTGTTACCAGCTATAGAGGCAGTGCAGAGTGAGGGGCTGAAAAGTACTCACTTTACCAAAAAGAAGCAGGCTTGTAAGAAAATCCTACCAAAAAGATGTGGTCTCTTCCAATGATTAACCTTTTAGAGCATTGTTTATAAGTTTAATTTCATCCCTCCCCAGCAACCATTTAAACAATGACTTCGGGGAAATGTTCTTTGACGATAGAGCAACAATAGAAAGGATCAGGAGCTTTCAGTTAACACTTTGCTACAAAGAGCTGGAATCTTAGTCTTTCCTGAGAGTATTAGAGGCCATTCTGTGCACCCTCAAAGCTCAAAGCTCAAAACAAAAATGAAGTCTCAAAAATCATGACACTCTGATGAGCTTGAATAAATAATAGTAACTTTTGGTAGCTCCACAAAAAACACAAAAAAGAACCCCTGAGACAGTTCAAAACTTGTGACCATCAGGCCAGTGTAACATTAGAGAGAGATGTATGGCTTAAGTGCCTTCAGTCATGACCTAGTCTACTTTCACTGCTTTGAGCCAGACCTACAGACCTTCTACAAAGTTATTATTTTACTGCCGCCATTATTCACCTTATTATCAAAATGAGGGGAACTATAGCAGACAAAAAGCTTTTGTGAGTATGATCTTTTGTGCTTTCAGCATTTAAGATGGCTTTTGTCTACTGTGAGATGGGTATCTGCCACAAACATCACTCAGGCATTGTGGAAGGGGGATTCATTTTCAGAGCTCTTTTGTTCTATTCTTTGGCCCAAACCAAGGAGCCACGCCTGCTCCTCTACCTCGAATTGTGCAGTGAACATTCCCTTCTTTGCTGCACTATAGGTGCATGAGCTGGCTCATCACCGCAGGCTTTCGTGGGAGATGGCTGTCAGGGTGGCAGGGTGGCACTTGGTAACATAAGCTGGTTCTGCATCAGGGTGGCCCATGGCTATGAGGCCGTTTGACAGTGGAACAGTCGTGGGTCTGAGGCTGTTTGAGCAGAAGTGGCTCTGCTCTGGAGTCCAGCTCTGAATCTGTTCCGAATGACCTGTCCGCTGCCTCTGACCACACCTCCAGCTTCACTCCTGTAAACACAGCACACGCCTGCTGCCTTTGCTCCTTCTCTTTGCCACTCAAAGCATCATCCTTGTCGTGCCCTCCCCGCCTCCCCACTGTTTTCCTCATCATTCTGTGTCCTTTATTTCCTCTGTGCTCCCAATCACTTGCTCAGTTCCCTCCACATTCTCTGAAGATGCCGCTTGTGTTGTGTCACTCTGAAGGAGCCACGCCCTCAGCCTATGTGCACACTTTTATTAAATCTGTGCGGGCGCTGGGCCGCGCTGCTGGGTAATCCTACAGTAATTGTTTCCAGATTAGGAGACCCGGACCACAAAGCAGGTTTAGCCAGGCATGAAATGGCCTCCCCATGCTGCAGCACCAGCCACCAAACCTGCTGAGGTGAGACTCACCTGGATAAAGTCCACATACGTCCATGGGAGCACAGAATCCAGGTAGCCAATGTCCTTTGAAAACCTGTTGAGAATCCGTCCTAAGAAACAAAGGGAAACACAAGAAATAACCATGTGCAAAAATGGCCATTTGTGTGTTTGAGAAAATGCATTATACATGAGTTCACCTAGCTGACTACACATAACACAATTTACACAAAGTAATCAGTCAGTTTAAGAGAAACAATCATTCATAAAACAATATTTTGTTTTAATTTCCTCCAGTCTTTTTGTGTTATTGAGCAACTGTTACCCATGTCTTGAATTAGATCTGGGCTGCCACAATATCACAGGGGAAACAGGGCTATCTAGATTAAACAATGCCTTGTTATTTCATAAAGACTGCCCTAGTCTTGGCTGAATAAGTGAGTGCACCTTTTGTTTTGAAACAAAGGGGAAGCAGAGCGGTGTACCTGCCTCCGTGCTCTGAATGGCAGTGTCAGTAACGTTAATTGAGTTGCTTCCAATCTGCTCAGGTGTTCATTATTTTGTCTGGTGCTCTGCAGGTGTTGTGGCCGCCTTTTTTGTCTAAAATTTCTCCCTTAATTCTTTGCCAAAGCACAACAGATTACACTCAAGCTGCTTTTACAGCAGGGACAGTGATAGCCAATCCTCTCTCTATCTCTACTTTAAGGCAAAGGGGACAGAGAGGCTTTTTCCATCATCTTCCCTTAAGGAAGCCTACTAACTCCGTAAAACATACAAAAACCACCTGCGGAGAAGGAACTCTTTTCTTTTACTTGGAAAAGAGTGTAAAACTGTCAGGATAAGTTGTTTTTTCTGACAATTTTGTCAATGATAAGATTACCAAACGGTTCTGTGGTACCGGCTAATGACCACAACCTATACAATAATGAAAATAATACATGATTCTTTACACAGTTTAATATATTCTTAGAATATAATTGATGAAACCAAGACAGAACTTGTGGAGTGATTTGGCACAGAATGTGTTTGTATAGTACAGTGAAACATGGGCACCCCTGACCTAAAAGTTGCCTTGCGGCCTCGCAGTCGTCCCTGTAATCACCTCTCTCCACGGCCGTAAGCAGCTTACAGCTTTATCCAAAATGCCACTCCCGCCTAAAAACATGCATACAGACGAGGCCGGGCTCCCCATAACAGCCATTGCATAAACCCTGCCAGAGCATTATTCCCAACAACAACCCAGCAATGCTCCAAATCAGCACTGATTCAAAGTCAAGTGGCGTAAGCATGTTGTACACTTGGAGGCAGACTAATCTTATTCACACTGAGTGCCCCTTTAGCATACAGACATCCTGAGGGGAGGGTTCAAGCGGAGGTAGAGCTGCTTCTTCACTAGGCCTCTATCTCTGTGTTTATGTCTACCAGCAGCACTTGACAAACTGTTTGCAGAAGATCCAGTAATATTTTATGTAATTTTACTGTCTAAGCCACAGATGACCCAGATTCATGCATGTCACACTAACAATGTCAATAAGAAAAGGCTAGGTTTCTTTGAATTACATCATTCTGTGGTTGGAGGGTGTTGGAGCACACAACAACCATCAGTTATCAGCTGTTTGACAGCGGCTCAGTTGACAGACTTTAGAGTGAATGAAGTAGGGACCCTTGTGCGTCCCACACAGACTACAGGGAGGATACATTACAGTGATGCAGTTACACAAAGACAGCATGGAAATGCCTATGAGGTAAGAACGGCATGGGACAATGGCTTCAATCTCTATGGGTGGTTGTCAACAATATCACCTATTGTGTCCAAAAGGGTATAGACATTTCAGGATATCAGCAACATTAGTATCAAACAATTTCTCATGGTTTAAGACTCCAGGGGAGATTTGCACCACTTTCTTAGACTTAGAAAATATCAAGTGCCAGGTGCCCCCAACTAAGGTGACTGCTAAGGTACTGATAGGTGAGCATGGCCCCCAATCACACTTAAAAAGTAGAACAGTGGGGATCGGCTGGAGAAGGGCGTGTGGCTAATCGCTGTTCCCTGTAAACATCAAGATAAGCAGAGGACTGAGCACAGCGCCATGTGTGGGCCCGCTGCAATTGGAGGACTCTTTCACTGACGCTCGTCTGATAATGAAGAAATAGGCAGAAAAGGCCTGCCAAGGCGGGAGATGGCACAGCTCACCTGCACTTCCATGAAGGGCCCAGGGGCCTGGGGCAGCCTCCCACCGCCGGCGCCTTGCTGCCAATACTAATACATTCTAAATCCATTCTCTCCGCTCACACCGCTAGGCTCCTGCAATCTCCTCTCCTTCCCTTTCATGCAATTAAATAGTGGAAGTGCAGAGTGAGGGGGAGCCCTATCAGCCGCACTGCACACACACACGGCTCCATCTCCACATTCAATTTACACACTTCGATATCATCATCCTCTCTGCACTACTACTCTTCCCCTCTCCCACTCTGGCAGCGCACACCTGGAATACAGACGTTCAAAACATCTCCTCCATCCACACAATTAGGACCTCACATCACGGACAACATAAGATCCAATGTTTGTAGACGAAGCCAGTGGTCGGACGGTGCACTGTCCCGTTGTGAAAGAAGCACTGTGTGAGCGGTGCAGGCTGTGCTGATGAGCTGGAGCCCTGGCCTGCAGTCTCAGAGGGGATTAGCCCACTCAATGACACTAAATTACAGGGATCAACATCAGCTCACCGTGCTGCTGTCTGTGCTGCTCTAACTGGATCACATTTAAATTAACAGCTGTAATCAAGCCACACGTATTGCTTAAATTGCACAACACATTTGACTATTAATCTATCAAATAAATATTCTTTCTTTTAATATGGTATGCTACAACAAAAAGCTTTAATCAAAACCACACCGGACATGGAAGTATTAACAAAGCATACAAGTTAACTGACTATGTGATACTGCCACAGCTACAAAGCCTTTGCCATCAATCACAATTCACCAACGCTGTACGCTATTGTTACACACCACATTCATAGGATAACAAATAAGACCTTTGTGCAGTGACGCTTGAAATGGTAACCTTTAACTCCGAGGACAGCTATCAAACAGACTGAGCTGTTCAGAAGCAACAAACCTATCACCTACACGTGTAAACAGTTGTCAAATCCTATAAGACATACAGGCATCTAATAAAAATACGCCAATGTAACTCCCAGTGAGGTTACATAAAGGAAACAATAGCAGAATGCATTAATCAAATTTTTGGAACATAATAGTAGTAAGGTACAGATAGTGACCAAAAGGTTGAAAGATCTACTATACTTTTTTTTTTCTTATAAATTTTATGCACAAGATGATTTAATGATAAAATTACATGCAACTTGTCAAGTCAAATTTACTTTCAATGGTTTAAGATAAGAAAAACTTTATTTGTGGAGAAATTGTGAGGACTTGAATAAAAAAATCTGGCAATTTTTTACAAATAAGTTACAAAATATATAGACACAATTAAAAATGCAACAAAAATGGCCCTGGACAAATAAATCTTTTAAATCTTAAAGCAAATGTATATATTGTGAGTAAAACAACTACTGTAACATAAGAGCAGTAATGCAAATAATGAAAAGAGAATGTAACTGAAGAGAATGTGACTGATAAGTGTCTTCCCAGTTACTTCTGTGCCTCGATGTGTCTCTGAAAATCTGCCTTTTCCTACGCACCTCCATGGTCATGGAATTATTTACAGAAAGATTTTACACGGGAATCTTTGGTGTCACTTGATAAGTTAGAGACAATTTTTAAAAGTGTGGTAGACATGCGTATGTTTTTCCTTCAGATATTTTTTTATAATGTGATATTTTGTGATTGTATGTTTTGTACTGACTGTGTTGGCTGCTACCTTGGCCAGGTCTCTCTTGAAAAAAGAGATTCTGAATCTCAATGGGACCTCCTGGTTAAAAAAAAAAAGTTAAATAAAAAATAAATAAAAGTATAAAGAAAGGTCTCGAGTGAACCAAAGTGAGCATTGAAGTACAGACTAAACAGACTTAAAGCTGTCTTTAAAGCTGCTGACTCTAAGACTGGACTGGTCACACAAGCCATACTGATAGTGGCATTCAATTCACATAATAATATCAGCTCAGCCTCTCCTTTGCTGCTGCACTGTTTAAGAGATTATCACATCATCCAAAGTGTTTGTTCTCATCTTGGTCAAAGATTATCCTGTAAGGCACACCCAGATAAGGTCTGAAGTTGCCTGATATGCAACAGCAAAAACAAAAGCCTGCTATTAGCACCTGTGCAGCTCTTTGCCGCTACACCCATAATGTAAGTGGAAAGCACAGCTCCTCAACACCCTTAAACCATATTTAAACGAGTGTTAGCCATGTTTGTGACTCATTATGCAGATACTAGTTTCCTTCTTGTTAAGAATTCCCACCCGAGCTGATTGTGTTGTACGCACGCATGTCGCACTGAGGAGATTAGACTGAGTAATTATCTGTTGACAGGTGAACAATGCTCAGGAAAATTCAACTTATCAAAGTGGGCCACTTGATATTTGACATACTGTATTGACTTACGGTACATACTTTTTTCCCCCCACCAATAATACATATATGCTGAAATTTCAAACGACAGAAGCAGATTTTGATAAAGCTTCTTTGTATATTTGAATATGAAGTAAAAGCAGACAGGCGGAGTGAGTGGTTGTTTATTTTTAATATCATGTCCATCTGGTCCCCCATCGAACTATGGCCAACCTACAAGACTAATGACATAATCAGAGGTTTCTGATACAGTGCACAAGAGAAAACAGTGCATATTTACATTGCTTTCATTCAAACACTACTCCCTCAAAGATCAAGAGCAAACAGAATCACTCAATGGAATCGTTTGTGTTTTTGTTCCAATGAACACTCATAAGATAACAGTAGCTCAAATCCAAACACATTAACACATACACTATAAGAGAAGGTGAGGTAGGGTAAGTTACCCTATGAAAGAAAAAAGCTGCTGTTCCATAATAACATTATTTATAATTAATCCAAAACAATAATTCCTACATTTATATATGTGTACTGAAGCAATGGCATGCACACACACATAGGTAACAGTCTGCCCTCTACTGGTGGCAATGTATTCTGCATCAGCAACTGTTTCCATGATGATTTTCACTTTTGAGAACTAAATATTATAGTAATTGACTATGTAGTACTTACCAATAGGATTGATGTCAAAGAAGTGAACTGGAGCCCGCAAAATGGCTTGAAACATGTTGTTGTGCAGGGTCTGGGCAGAACACACCATGACATTAAAGAGGACCAAGCAGCGAAGGAAGCCAAAGAGGACAGAGGTAACTGTTAAACCTGGAAATAGAACAGAAGACATTAATATTGTAGCAGTTTCAAGGTCAATAATGCACTTACAGGGCATGTCATATGTACCATATATTATATGTTCAAAGAAAATGTGACACTAATTCTTTTCACTTTTGTCTTGAAACCTGATCTATCTCTCTGAAAGCACATCTTAAAGGAGTGACAAACCAGAAAGTCACAGGGAGACAATCAAGAGCAGTACAGCAGTAGAAAACAAGACAGGCGCTGCTATCTCTCAGTACAGCTGAGGCCCGCTACAAACAGTGGGCCTTGAAGGCCTTGGGCCGCAGCCAAAGAACTGTGGATCTGTTCGTTGAATGGCTGCTGTATTCACAGCCTTAACAGTACACAAAAAGCCATGTGTGTTGAGCAGCTTCACCTGCGTAAACACCTAGGTACAGGTCAAGGTCCAGCTGCCGGGGGAGGCTGCCATTGAGGTGCTCTGTCACATTGTTGTGCTTCTGTTCAGAGGCCCTGCAAGTCAGCCACAAAAGAACCAAAAATCCACAAGGACAAATAAACACAACAAAGAAAGAAAGATGCCTCCTGGAGGCACTACACAAAACACACTGCTTCTCCCTGAAACACAAGGTCACATTCAACAGGAGCTGGATAATGGCAAGAAAAATGGTTCAATCGCTGTCTATTAAATCATCAACCATTTCCAGTCAGGGTAAATGTCATTTTGGCTTTCTCAACCTTTTTTAAGCATCTGTGTTTTCACAAGGTTTAAGAAAAACAAGTCTCACCAGCAAGCCAGCCACCAGTCCTGCAGAACAAAGGTTGTCTAACAAAAGATACAAAATTAAAATTATTACTTGGAATAACAGGACTATTAAGTGTGCATTTCACAATAAAAAAAATCTAACTCACCTGAGCCAAAGCATTGAGTAAGATGAGAACCAAAAGGATCATGTAGCTGGCTCCTGCTTTGAAATATTTTACATAAAGACGAAGGCCGACATCTCCCTCTGAGCGGCTTTCCTCCTGAATTGGTTGCATTACCTATAGACAGATACTAGAGTCAACTGCAGTCATCCAGCAACACTTTCCACTAGATTGCTATGAATGAGAGGGCAAAATTAGGTATGTTACACCCTCTAGTGGCAGAAAAAAAACTCAAAACTAATAACTTGAAGTTACCCACCATTGCTTGCAACTGTGTGCCATCCATTAAAGAATACTGGGAAGAGGAGAGGGAGGACATGGAGGAGGTGGACAGGTTGGAAGGAGTGTGTGAGTAGCAAGAGGCCATTCCGGAGCTAGGCGTAATGGTCTGCATTTCGTCCCCAGGGTCCTCTTGATCCTTCAGCAAAGAGGTGAAGTCCACACCGCTGTGTTGCAGTTCACTAAAAGTTCCATTTGCCACCATGTGACCCTGTATAATCATCATCACATCAAAAGGCCCATATTACGCTATTTTTTGATCTATGTTATAATGTTGTTTCCTCACCAAAAACATACCTGCAGTTGGGTTTTGTTTCATTCACACGTTTAACATAAATCCAGCATATTTAGGTTGAGCTTCTCTGCAAAAGAAAACACTCTGTTCCACCTTGTGATGTCATGTGGTAATAAAGGAAGTGCTCCTGCACCTTAACTAGAATCATCTGGAGAATTTCAGCCCTGTAAAAATCTCTACTAAACAAAAGGTAAAAGGTAGCTGTTGACTTGAAAACTACCGCTTCTTGACATCACAAGGTGGAAAAGAGCATTTTGAGCTTTGAGAATGCAGATAGCCAAATAATCAAAGATTAATCACGCATGTGTGAATTAAACAAAACACAACTCTGGGCATGTTTTTGAGGAGGTAACAGCATTTTAACATGTCTTAAAACTCACAAGAGTCAATTTAGCGTAATATAGCACCTTCAAAAGTGGCATGCATATACAAGTTAAAATGACAAGTATGACATTTGAAAACACTCATACAATTTCAAGGGTCTACCACAATATGAGCTTTTTCATAGCAAGGATCAAAGGTTCCCCTGTAGGTATAGCCCTGTAAGAACAGCATGAAGAAACATGGTTTTGTTTTGATACTTTTTTCTCTTGTCAAGTGTATCATCTCTGGAATGCACACTCACTGAATAAAATTATCCTGACTTTGCCATCTGCCTCAGATGAATGCTTAATATTCTAAGTCTTTCAAGTGAAGCAAGAGGAAATATTGAATGGAGAATTACTCAGTACCACATAAACATGCTTTAAGAAGCTTTAAGTAATTAACACTGAAAACACATCCAGGGACAGACACTCTATGATCTATGCAGTATAAAAATATCTAGTTCAGTAATTGATCATATTTGATTGTTTGATAATTCAAGTGCTAAAAACGTAATGATGCAGCCCACCTCTTTTAAGACGACAATTTGATCAGCTGCCTTCAGATACTGCAGCTGGTGAGTGACCAGAATGCGGGGCTTCTTTTTTAAAAGACCACAGATGCACCTAAAAAAATATATATTGAAACTAAAATATAAATTTGATCAAAATAACTCACAGGTAAAAAATCAAACCAAAGTCAAAAGTATATAGTATGAATGATAAAATTATCATTCAAAATTACAATTACAATTACAAAATTAAAATAATGTAATTATAAAACAGTGATTTGTATCTACAGTATATAACCTAAAAATTTATATGAAAAATAAATACTTACTCCTCAAAAAGGTGTCTTCCAACCTCAGCATCCACAGCGCTCAGTGGGTCATCAAGTAAGTAGATATCTGCATCCTGGTAAACTGCTCTAAGAAAAAGACACAACTATATAAAAAACATGGCACAATAAAAAGTATTTACTAAGCCTGACATTTGGAGCAGACCTGGCTAAGCTGACCCTGGCCTTCTGCCCTCCGCTGAGGTTAGTCCCGCGGTCTCCAACGATGGTCAAATCCCCAGCCGCCATTAGGTCCATGTCCTTAACAGGGCCCAATGCAACACTCAAAAGTCATTGACACTGACACTGGGCTCACTAGTATTGTACATGTAACAGGTGGGATGCAGGGACTGTACAATGTGCGGCAGGGTGCAGGGGTTCTCACTCTCTTAAGGGCGCACGCTCTCACAATTCTATTATACTTCTGGGAGTCGAACTCTTTGCCAAAGACGATGTTGCTGCGAATTGTACCAGGGATTATCCAGGGTAGCTGAGAGGTGTAGCTCAGGTCTCCTCTGACCTTGATCAAGCCACTGTTCTGAGTCAGCTCTCCGAGGATGGCGCTGAGAAGGGAGGACTGAAAAAATAAAGCTCATGCTTTATCCATTATATTAAATGTTGTAATATCATGGAACCATAGCTAACCTTTCCAGCACCAACAGGTCCAATAACTACCAAGAGCTGTCCAGACTTCACAGTAAAAGTCACATTATTAATAGTTGGAGATTCTAGAATCTGAAAGATACAGACAGTTTATGTTACTGAATCCCAGTCAATGAAAACATAAATGTTTAAAAATAGAGACATTCTGTGCACAGCTCCGTAAATGTCCAGTAAACTTACTTGGTCCCAGTAACAGGTTAAATCCTGGACTTTGACTATGCAGTCACCCTTTTCTGTCAGAGTAACACTGGGAGACTGAGGACAAACTTCATCAAGCAAGAGGAAACCCTACATGAAACATACAGAAATCTGTAGTTTATTATAAAGTAGATATTAATACAGGACCACATTAAATTATGGATTTTGTGGTGGAAATTACATTGACTATGTGATGTCTAAATCAGTTTTGAGTATCAAGCCTATTCCTTTGTATCAGAACTGAGATTGAAATGTTTGTATGGTGCTGTAGTTATTAATAGTTATGTAGTTATATGTTTAAGATATACCTGAATCCTTCTAATGCTGACGAGAGACTCTGAAAGCTTCTCAATAGCACAGGGGAAAAACAGTGTGACGGTGATCCTGACTGTGCCGTACAGTGCCATGGTCAGAAAGACTCGACTGGCAGACAGCTGGTTCCCCATCAGCACGTACATGCAGACAGTGGCGAAGATCATGATCTTACTGGCCACAAAGAACGACGCCATGTTCAGGCCACGCAGATAAGAGCTTTTCATGATCTTGGAGATTTCTAATCTGTAGATTTCGAAAGCACATTATCAAATATTCAGTGAGGTACAACTAAATAAACTGGCCTACTGTACCTTCTGACTTCATCCACAAGATCGGCAAAAGGCCTCTCCCAGCCATACATTTTTATAACACGAATACCAGAGATGACTTCATTCATAGTGCGTATTCTGTCATCAGTAAGAATTGCAGTTTCAGCTCTGCAAGATCAAGAGAAGTATAAAAAAACTAAAATAAAAGTAGTTGCAAGAAATTACAACAGTTTTGACAAAACATCATACCTGAATCTAGAGAACAAACGTCCAAACATAGACTGAGCTGACATCAACATTAAAATATAGCCATTCCAGACAGACATGAAGGACCAATAGCATTTAAAAGCAATATGATAACAGCTAGAGCATGTACTGGCCCAATCCACAAAAAATGAAGAAAAAGGGTTACCTATAAACAAAAAAAGCAAATGCTTATGTAACTTGATATAATTATTTCAATTAAGATATGATTGAAAAAGACCTCATCAAACTTGTTGACATCATTGGATAATAGATTCACTATTTGTCCAGTGGTAGTTTTAGCTAAAGCTGCACTATTGAGGCATAGGGCCTGAAAAAAAAAAAAAAAAAATTAGATAAACAAATCCTTGAACCTGTGGTTACAAAGTTTTTGTTGTATATGGGCTGACCTTGCGATAGACCATGTGACATACAGCCACACGGATCTTCATGCCTGCTCTTTGGGCATGATAAAAGTACAGATGATTAAATACAGTAACACCCATGGTTGACATAGAGATGCCTGCAGCATAACTATAGGCTTCATTAATGTCTGATGCATTATCTCTTTCAAAGTATTCAATCAACTTTCCAAGAAGCACTGCTTGAGTTACACGGATGATTTCCTTGAAAGACAATAGCAAAACTTAAGTGAAGTCTTGATCAGAATTACTATAACTAGTGTGCATGATACCTCTATACATTTGTAGATTCCAATGAGTGAGTAGGATTTCCAAAAGCAACGGACTAGCACTTTTCCAAAATTAGGTGAGCGAAGGTCTTTAACTGCCTGTTTGACTTCTAGATTCCAGTACCTAGAAACAAGAAAAATGTTTTGTCTGGCGCAATTAATCACACTCAACCCCATCACTATCAAATAATAAGAAAATTATAATTTTAGAATAGTTTGTGGAAAAACAAACAAATGTCAGGAAACAGCTATCAGAATTTACAATAAGTGGGATGGTGTTGACCTTTCCCGAGGTTTAAGTCAGACTCCTTTCTATATATAGGCAGAATGAGTGTCATGGGTGTCATGTGCAGGGGTAATGAAGAAAAACAACTCTGGCCTGTATAACAACTTGGCCACACAATTTAAACAGAATTTTCACGCTGTTAAAGTGCACCAGCTAACTAAACACGGTGTGGATGCTTTATGTGATAAACATATAATACCACTGCAGTTCCTCTCCAAGTTTGTCAGAGGCATCTTCTGGCAACACTTTATACATATCCTCTTCTTCCAGTTTTCTGCCATATCCAACTTTGAATAGTGGATTTAGCCAGCTGGAATTTAAAATAAAAATCACCTTAAGAACATTTTATCACACAAGATGACACTATAATAAAGTCCATGCTAACGGAGATGGCTAGACTACCTGTTGCTGTCAGTTAAAGTGACTCTAAATGTCAGACACTAGTCAGATCCATTCATTGAACGTCAAAGCCGGCTGTTACTGGCCTGCAGGTTTCTTACCAGAAGAAAATCTTGGAGAGAAGATTAGCAGTGGCTAGGGGATTATCCTTTGCCTCTTTTCGGTGAGGCTCCATGCGCCTTGCAGTGAAAGTGACCCTATCTCTGCAAATGATATGCAGTTAAAACAAAACTTGAAAGGTTACATAGAGATCGCGTTAAGAGTTTCGCTCGCATGCACCTGCTACAGGATTAGCGCACGAGAACCATGACCTACGCGGTCAGGTGCGCGCGCCCGCATGGCCCCGCCCACTGCCATATGGTGAAGATCACTTTCCCCTGGTATCTCAGGAAACATGTCTTGCAATCCCAACACCGAGACAGGCTTATTATTGTCATTTATTAATATACATAGCAAGAACAAGATCTCTCATTGGAGGGATAAAAATATATAAAAATCAACATCATCATCATCATCACCACCACCACAATAATAATCATAGTAAAAGACAAAATAATATCTGTCAGAAATGTATTATTTTATTTATCAAAACAATGGTTTTTCGAGCACCACCAGAAACCAACCCAGACTTTATAAAGTCTAATTTAGGGCTAAATATCGTCTAAAGTTATACTAAATCAGATGTTCAGTGAGGTTAAACCACCATGGGTTACTCTAAATAATGATTAACCCAAAGGAGGACAAAAACTGAATTTGTCTCTACATAAAACAAATAGGCTACTCACAGCGTTTTAAACGGATCACCATATGACCAGAAGCAGCCCTGCCACAGCTTGAGAAACAGGTTTCAGGTTTTTGGACATTCTATACTGGTCCTATATAATAATAATAATAATAATAATAATAATAATAATAATAATAATAATAATAATAATAATAATAATAATCATCATCATCATCATCATCATCATCATCATCATCATCATCATCTGGGTGGAGAGTCCCTGCCTCAAGTGGAGAGGTTCAAGTATCTTGCGTCTTGTTCATGAGTGAGGGGAGGATGGAGCGTGAGATTGACAGGCGGATCGGTGCAGAGTCGGCAGTCATGCGGTCGCTGTATCAGACCATCCGTTGTGGTGAAGCGGGAGCTAAGTCGAAAGGCACAGCTCTTGATTTACCGGTCAATCTACGTTCCTACCCTCACCTATGGTCATGAGCTTTGGGTAATGACCGAAAGGACAAGATCGCGGATACAAACGGCCAAAATGATTTTCCTCCGCAGGGTGGCTGGGTGCTCCCTTAGAGATAGGGCGAAGAGCTCCGTCGCATAGGAGTAACTCAGAGTAGAGTCGCTGCTCCTCCATGTCGAGAGGAGCCAGCTGAGGTGGCTCGGGCATCTGCTCCAGATGCCTCCTGGGCGCCTCCCTTGGGAGGTGTTCCGAGCATGTCCCACCGGAAGGAAGCCTCGGGGAAGACCCAGGACACGCTGGAGGCACTATGTCTCTCGTCTGACCTTTGAACACCTCTTGGTCCCTTCAGAGGAGCTTGAGGAATTGTAAGGGGTTAAGGAAGTCTGGGAGTCTCTGCTCAGACTGCTGCCCCAGCGATCCGGCCCGATAAGTGGAAAAAAATTGATGGATAATAATAATACTCAAAGTTGTTTTACAATTTAGTGCATTGTTCATTCACCCCATACCCGCTGGTTAGATACTGTTGTAGCCATAGTTGCCCCGGGGCAGACTGACAGAAGTGAGGCTGCCAATCTGATCACCACTAACACTAACGCACACACCACTTTCATGCTAGGCAATGCAGGTGAAGTGTCTTGCCTAAGGACACAATGCCACTTTATACCACTGGCGTCCCATTGTGACACCTGATCTGATTTTACCAGCGGTCTGCCATCCAAGTACTACACAGGCCCAGCCCTGCTTAGCTTTTGAGATCTGACGAGAGGAGGTTTGGCCATAGAAATACTTGTTCCAGTTCCAGTAGAAGCTGGAAACTATTTTTCACAGATTTTTCAAAAGGAGTTGAGCCATGTGTGGACTTTGAGCTCATACTATGTGCTGGTTTTAGGATTACTGATTACTCATGTGTTATTTTTATGTTAATATGACACTTGGCCCCATTTTGGACCAAAATATGGGCCACAAGAGGACCTTAGTCACCGAATGTCAACACTGCCTAACTAACTAAAACATTAAGCTTCATTCCTGTAGTCATCTGCCCATCCCTCCAAGATGTCTATTCTGTAAATCATCTGTGCGAAACACATGTTGCCAGTGTAATGCCCCTGCCTGAGCAGGTTTTATCTGCTCTCTAGTCTAAATCTCTAATATTAGTCTAGTCTGACTATGTCAGGTTTACAGATCCTTGCATTTCTCAGTGGTCTGGCTGGTCTCGGGGCTTCTTTTGCTGCCACTGTGTCAAATGAATGGCGGGCGACAAGCAGGGCGTCCTCGGTAATCACGGCCACCTGGGTGCTGCAGGGGTTGTGGAACAACTGTGCTGGGAATGCCATTGGAGCTCTGCATTGCCGGCCCCATCACACCATCCTCAAGCTGGAAGGTAAGGCAAACACACAACTGCTTTTACAGAGATGGATACATTATCACCCTCAAACATGTCCACAGTATTATCATCTGTAAAACACATATGGAAGTGACAATATTGACCAACTTTAGCTGCAGACTGCTCTCACTACAGTAAAGTTTCACAGATAAATTTCTGTAAAAACTAAAAACATTAACTAAGTAAACGTAATATAAATGTATTTAATTTGTATTGTATTTGTATTATTTATGCATATATTTTCTATTCTGTTACCTATAAGCTATACAGTAGGCTATTTCAAGTAAAAAAAAGTCTTAAAAGCAAAGTCTATAGCCTGATCTGGACATCATAATAAAATATGAATTCAATCATATTAGTTACTGCATAGTTGTAATATTTCCTGTTTCCAGCACTATGGCTCCATCTGATGGTGGGTTGCTGTGCACAGAATCAGACTGTATCTGACTGTATATCTGTATAACTGTGGATAAAAATATTATGTATTAACATAATTATCACATCATTATCTCTTAAATGCTTTAGATCAATTCTTGTATTTTCAGTTATAAAATATAGTATATTGCAATGAACAAAATGCACATATTGTCAGTTTTTCTGATCTATGTTATAATGTTCAAAAACATGGAGTTTTTTTTTTACACAAACACCAAACATATATTTAGATGAAGTTCTCCTCTCAAACAGACCATTCCATACACCTTCATTGGAATAATTTGGATGATTTCAGCTCTGGAATGAAATAAAGGTAAAAGATAGCTGTCATCTTGCAAACTACCACATGGCTTAAAGCTCACAAGAGTCAATTTTGCCTACTATAGAACGTTTAAATATGATCCACTATATGCTGTAAATAAGTAATCACTCCATGTGAGGTTGAAGCAACTGCTCTGTATTAGTCAGAAGTGAGGTGGAAGTGCACAGTGTCTGTTAGAAAGTAACATATTGACTGACTTCACTGTTTCTCTGTACGAGAAGCCCACTGAGCATGTGTATCTTTTTAACTCTTACACAGTGACGTCACATGAACCCTTCCAGTGACGTGTAATGAGTCAGGGCCCAAACTCCACCCAGCCCAATATAAGCGTCCATAACACATTAACTATAAATCACATCCTATTCATTCAACTAGCACTGCTGAGCTTCTCAACTGATACTGGTAGGGCACCCCCGGTTTACTTTAGCTCCCCACCTTGATTTAACAGCATGTTCCAGGAGATCTTGGCCTTCATTTTGACAACTTCAGGCTGGGTTCTGGTCTCTTCCACTTTACCCACGGACTATTGGAAAGTATCTTCGATTGATGGGACAGTAATCACCACAGCCACCTTCTGGTCTAATCTATGGAAGACGTGTGTCACTGATTCTACAGGAGTCTCCAACTGCAAGGACTTCCCTTCAATGCTGGCCTTGGATGGTCACTATTACTTTTCCTTTAATTATTTATTTAATATGGTATTTTAATACACTTTGTGTTTCATCTAATGCTATTTGGACTTCACAATATGTTACGCTAATCTCACAGAAAATACTTCTAGAGTTATATCTGTTTCTTTGGTTGCTAACAGATTTCCCGCTTCTTGTCCTTTACAGCTGTTAATTATATTAATCTATGCTGAATGCACAATGTTGTGGTTGCCATCTGAATCGTTAATATCAAAAACTATTACAATGCATCAGAAATATTAACTTTATTAACATTGGGCGTGAAGGTCAAGGATTCTACAAAAAGAATACATGTAAAAAGGGTGAGCTATGAAATCTTAGATTTAAAAAAAAATATGTTCAAAGATAGTTTTATTATTTCATAGGCCAACAGTCATTATCATTAGTACAATTAACTATAGTATCTACTGTACGACTACTTTTGCAACCTAATCTTGCAAAAATAATAAATAAATAATAGCAAAAAAGAAGAAAAAGTAAACTAGTAATGAAAATGCTAAAATGTAACTAAAAACTGCAGTATCTACTAAACAATATTGGTTATTACAATTTTTCTATTTGTAATATCACTTTGTAAACCTCATTACAGTTTATAACTAATCCATGTAGTTCCAAAAGTCATGGAAGTTTATAATACATCATACCAAACAATAAGTTTTGATATATGTCTCTAAGAAGCCGCAACTTTAAATTGAGTCAATGTTTAGCCTTAGTTCTAGGAGGTTAATGGCTATAAAAGAGATTTACTGAGAACACCTCCGGCACTTTCTAGCACGGCTGACTAGTAACAAGGGTTAACTTCTGGGTAATATTTGGCTCAACAATCACATCCACCAGACCAAAAAACATTATACTTGCATGTGACAAATTAGTTCCCATAGTTGATGTCACCCCCAAGGTCGGTGGCTCCTATAGACAGGAAACACAAAAATGTTGTTAAATGAATACATGTCTTTTTAGTAGGTGGTCTGTCACCTGCTTGTTTTTATGGATATGTTATTGCTCTGCCTGGAATGTTACACAGTATGACTTTAAACAGCTCTATCTTACATTTATTCAATTACAAGTGGTTTTATAGCTCAAAAATACCTAGAAAAACAGGTATTCTGACAGTGAGCGGAGTTGCCTCTCCACAGATCTAACCAGTAAGTTTGTCTGGTTTGGTCTCCATGAAGATATAAAGGTTTAAGACCATATTGTGTAACATTCCAGACAGAGCAATAACATCATTTGACGGACACTACATCAGAAAAGTTATACAATGTACCTTTAACAACACATTTATGGTTGCAGGTTACATCCAAGCTTGCAGAGGTCTCATGATTGCAGCAGTCTGCCTGGGATTCTTTGGCTCGATATTTGCACTTGTCGGAATGAAGTGTACAAAAATAGGAGGAAGTGACCAGAATAAGGCCAGGATTGCATGTTTGGCTGGTGTAAGTTTCATCCTTAGTGGTAAGTAACTCAAATATTTCAAAATATTTCATAATTTCAATACTTGCATTTCAAAATTCATATTTTTTCCCCCTAGGCCTTTGCTCACTGTCGGCATGTTCCCTCTATGCCCACCGTATCACCTCAGAGTTCTTTGACCCAATGTTTGTGGCACAAAAGTAAGTTTTCTTGTTGCTAACTTGTTGAGGAGAAGTCTACAGTGTGTCCAAGTCTGTCGCACAGTATCTCTGTATTTCCCAGATATGAGCTGGGGGCTGCACTGTTCATTGGCTGGGCAGGATCTGTCCTCTGCATTCTGGGAGGCTGCATGTTCTGCTTCTCTATTGCAGGCTCTTTCAGCAAAAGGTTTGTTTAAAGAATACATATAATACTGCAAGTGATACTTTGCACAATTTGTTTTTATTTTACTCTTTAATGTTTTGCATGTTTCTATACTGTTTCTGTACAATTTTACTAGAAAGGCACTTTGGGCTGTATATATAATGTTTGCTTGCTTGATTGATTGATTGTTTGATTGTTTGAAGCCAACTGACATTATGAACAACTTTGTCACCAAGTTCATACAAGCTGAAAATCTAAAAATATGAGAGAATAAAAGTTACATTTTATAAAACATTTCTTGATAAAATGTGAAAGTATCATGGTAGTTTCCAACTCAGATAAAAAGATAACTAAATTACTTGTGTAACATTGAATCCATGTTTTTGTGTTGCAGTCACAGTCAGAGATCCTACATTTACAAGGGGACTGTCTCTCATGTGACTTCCTTTCCAAAGGGACAGGCACCAGGCTACACCAGACCTGCTCCTAAATACAGCACCTCCTCCAGGAACCAGGCCTTTGACAAAAATGAATATGTTTAATCAGTTGTTGATTTATACATGATTTTGATTTGTATAAATAATTGTTTTTATAATACAGGTTTTTACTTTTTATATAATAGGTATATGGAACTGTAATTTGTTGGGCTTTCTTGTCATCTACTCATAAAGATTTCAGTTTATTGTCTTAATATCATGCACTTAGATTTAAGAGTAAGATTTTGATAGGTTTATTTATACCAGATGCGCATTCGAGTTTTCAGTTGTCACTCAAAAGGAAAGGCTTTTTTTCTATTGCTTCTTTGTTGAAACATTTTATATATGATGTTAATAATGGTTGTACATTTGATTTGAAAAAACTTTTGGTGTTAAAGAATAGATTTGCAATCGCAATAAATGGACAGGAGAGGGCAGTAGTGTGTTTTTTTTTTTTTTCTACCTGTTCTGTTAGTGAGTGTGGGTGACTTTAATTTAGCTTCAGTGTTTTACCTTTTAACAAAATTTTCAGTACAATAACAATTCATAATTTCTCTGTAATATAAATTGTATTGTTAAAGGACTCATACCACACTATTTACTGATGATGCTGTTTCCTCATCAAAACGTACCTGGAGTTTTGTTTTGTTTCATTCACACTTGTTTAATACACAAACCCTGCATATTTAGGCTGAGCTCTTGTCTCAAACGGAAAACACACACCACCTTGTGATAGAGGAAGTGTTCCACTGTGTTTTTAAACTCCATACACCTTCACTACAATCATCTGGATAATTTCTGCCCTAGAATTTCCAATCTCTGAGAAAGAAAAGGTAAAAGGTAGAAGTTGACTTGAAAACTACCACTACTTGACATCACAAGGTGTAACAAAGCATTTTGAGCTTTGGAGATGTAGACAGACTAATAATGTGTGAATGAAACAAACCACAAGTCCGGGTATGTTTTTAATGAAGAACAACATTTTAACATGGCTAAGTTCACAAAAATCCATTTAGCGTAATATAGGACCTTTAAACTGACATATGAAGAGAAGAACAAAGAACTGTATGTGATATATTCTCTTATTTACCAATCCTGTCTTTAGGAGGTGTAGAGAGCTATCCACCTGAATCTTCAGTCATGTTTTGCAGTCCCCCATAATCTGTGGATAGAATGCAATGTAATTCACACAGTAATACTATAACAAAATTTAAGAAGCAACTCACAAAAAGTTTCAATAAATCTGAAGTGCTCTTCTTTTAAAAAAAATCTCCTCTTCAGATTTCAAAATGGCTTGCACCCGCTGGAGTAGATTATCCCGATAGGTTGGCACACTCCTGCATATTTACAGTCAACATGTGACTCAGTGCCCTCATCAACAGTGCTGACATATGAAAACACAACTCTATCCATCCATCCATTCTATGTCCAAATAAGAGCAAACCACCAAGGGAACAGACAGAAAGGTGCTTCATTTTGGACCTTACAATATAGTTTTTTACTTTTGTCTTAGCTATGAGAAAACGTCTAATTCAGATCTTTGGTTTCCTGGTCACATCGCTGGGATGGTTCTTTGTATTGTGCACTATGGCTATGGACTATTGGAGGATAAGTCAAATCGGGGGACAGGGAGGTTCCTATATTATTAAAGTGGCCTGGTACTGGTCCAACCTGTGGAAGGACTGTTTCACTGATTCTACAGCTATCACCAACTGCAGGGACTATCCTGTACTCTGGAGTGTTGCCAGTAAGTCTGTCCTGTGCATTGAGTTATTCTTCAAATAGTTTTACTGTGGTCCAGCAGAAGTGGAAAAAGTTACTGAAAATCTGGAAGTATTGTTACTTCAAATAAGAATGAGGATGAGACTGCATTGTTTATATTATATAGTATTTATATAGTGTAGTATTTTCTGCTATTATAATAAAAACACCATATGTTATCCAACATCTTCTATTAACCATACTCATAAAATGAATATAGCCACTATGCCTTATGTGACAGCAGTCTCTTGCTATCTTTTTTGCTACTTATTTAGACTTTATCATAACCATTTATATTCTTTACTCTTTGTTATTATAATATATTGTGATGTGTGAGCAAATATGTCCAAGTAATTTACCTTGTGGATCAATACATTTTGTCACTGCTCTTTTTTGTAGAAGAAAATTAACTTTTAATGTTTAGAATCACAAAAAACTCATTTATAATTTATGTACAAAAATCAACATAGTTTTCTTTCATTTTGTATTTTTTTTTTTTTTTGGCCAAAAGCTGGATAATATCTATCTATCTATGCGACTCTCTATATGACTATAAGTTAAGTAATTTTGTGTCTTTTTATCTCTGCAGCTTATGTCCAAGGAGTCCGGGGATTACTCATGTGTGGTTTGACTATTGCATTTTTCGCAGTAGTATTATGTTTTGTGGGGATGGAGTGCACTTATATCGGAGGATCTGAAGCAGTGAAAGATAAACTAGTTCTTGTTGGAGCTGTTTTCCATTTTGTTGGAGGTGAGTTTGGCACTCTTTGTTTCTGTAAATCTCAGAAATGTTTTGATCTGAATTCTTGGTAACAATAAAATTTCACAGGTGTTTCAGATATCTGTGCCTACTGCTTATACATAAACAGAGTTGCCAGGACCAGTTTTGCGGCAAGTTTAGCCCCTGGAGTGTTAAGGTATAGTAACTTGCATTCATTTAAAACACACAAACAAAGCAACCTTACTTGATATGATGTTCTTGGTGCATCCAGGTATGATCTTGGACCTCCCATTTTTCTTGGCCTGGTTGGATGCTTTCTTATCTACTTGGGAGCTGTACTGTATGCTGTCACTGTCTATCGTGTCATCTTCCCTAAAAGGTACCAGACAAATTATTCAAAAACTTCAAATATTTTCCACAAGTAGTTGATTAATACTACTCACCCTGCCCATATCTATGCCCATGATTTTTTTTTTTTTTTAATCATACTACACTCATTATTTTAAAGGGCCCATTTACAAACATGCCTGTTGTGTTTTGTTTCATGCACACAAGCTTAATACACAAATCAAGTATATTTAGGCTTAAGTACTTCTGTGAAAACACTTCCACCTTGTGATGTCATGTGGTAAAACAGGAAGTGCTCCACTGTGTTTTTAAAAACCATACACCTTCACGAGAATCATTTGGATGATTTCAACCCTGGGCTTTCTAATCTCTACTGAACTAAAAGTAAAAGGTGGTGGTAAACACTTCATGACATCACAAGGTGGAACACAGTATTTTGAGCTAAAGGATTACTTAAGCAGGTGCGAATGAAACAAAACATAACACCAGGTATGTTTTTGATGCGGTAACAACATTATAACATGACTTAAAGGTCACTAGAGTCAATTTGAAATGATCTTGAATGAGTATGGGACCAATGCATAACTTTACACTTGCAGTTTATGTAAGTTCCTTACCATATACCATCTCTGTCTTTCTTCTCTATACCTCATTGTATTACACTCACTACTTTTATGATCTTTCACAGAGAAGTGATAAATGTGTATGGGACCAACACATACGCTGCCCCCCGCTACAGAGGAAAATCCCTGTACACTGGGTACTACAAACCCTCCAGACAGTACGGATACTACGTGGGCTCAGGACTGTCGAGCAGTTCCAAGATCTCCATGTTGTCTCGCACCACGGAGAAGATCTCACAAAGGGACGCGTTTGTGTAGCTGCCTTATGAACATTTTATAACTTGTAAATATATATGTAAAATAAATAACAAAAAAATGAGTAGTAACTGGGGAATGTCAACTGCTCTCAACTGCTGAAGTATGCTATTGTAATGTACATTTTCGCAATTTTGCAGAACTCAGTCTGACTTTTGTTTACTGCTGTTGACTCAAATGAAAGGGAAAATTATGTAACTATGTTCTGCAGTGTGTTCTTAACGTTAAATTGTAATAGTAAAACAAAAAAGGTTGAAGTGTGTTGGTAAATTTCCTTTTGTGTAGATAAATAACATACCAGGAGTTGTGTTTGTTTCATTCACATGTTTAACACACAAACCCTGCATATTTAGGATGAGTTATTCTCTCAAACAGAAAACACTCCACCTTGTGATATCATGTGGCAATACACACATGTGGTAAGCATTTTGAGCTTTGGAGATGTAGACAGACTAATAATAGACAATTACTGAAATGTGTGTTAATGTTTTTGTGTAAATAACAACATGGCTTAAAGCTCACAAGAGTCAATTTTGCATAACCTAGAACCTTTAAACTGCAAATTACACTGGCCATAAATTATACCTCACAACTAGAACACGTCCACCATCATTTAATCCTCAAATAATTCCATATGACTGAAATAAAGTACATTCAACCATTGCTTTCTGAGGAACATTCATAAACCATATTTTAAAAAATAAAAAATATTTTAGGAAAAGATACCTGGAAGGCCAAACTCTATTGTGTGTCCTCCTATGTAAGCCTACTGAAATCTACACAGTTTAATTTGACAAATCTACATCATATATGCTCAGTGTGTATATCTTCATATGAAATATCTCTTTAACCCCACCATCCCTTTATTATCTGTTACCTTATCAGTCAAATCAAACAATATTTGCTTGGCTCTGTTTGTCTTTTGTGTTTTAAGACAACTTAGGAAACAGGAGTCAACCCAAAACACTACGTCTGCTGCAAATGCTGGATGTTATGTGAAACCATGCGGGTCGGCGTGTGGATGGCACAGGGACAACAACACAAGGTGCCCTTTACAAGAGAAGCCAATCAGAGTTTCGGGTGAAAACGTTCAGCCTTTTTCCACTTGTTTGTTTTGTAATTCAGCTTCTGAGGAGGGACTTTTGCTGAGCATTGTCATTATTGCTAAACAGAGTAGCTTATAGACCTGCTTACCCCCTCTCAGTCTAAACTAACTGCAAAAATGAAGTATAGGACGGTGGTTATGTACATGGAGATTGGATGCTTTGTGATATGTGTTGCGGGTTGGATCCTCGTCTGCTCTACGATGCCCACAGAAATCTGGACATGGTCTGAGGTGGACAGTATTGTACTTACCACTTCAAACTACTTCTCCAACCTGTGGAAGGACTGCATATCTGACTCCACCGGTGTGTCTGACTGCAAGGGAATCCCATCCATGCTTGCGCTCAACTGTAAGTAAAAGTATAGAGAATTTTTATTTTTTATATGGATATATTTTTTACTATTATTTTATTATTATGAAGTTTTTTGTTTTTTTTTAAATCTCTCTTTTTACCCTTTCATTTGAGTTGTGTCATGCTTTCTAGAACAGATAATCTGAAACTATAATGTTTTTTTAACTGTTATATTTTATTTTGCCTACATACTCTACCCCTCAATGTTATGCTCAAGAACTGAGATCAAAACCTGTAATATAAAGTAATTCTAAATAATGACATTCAAATTAATCACATAATCAAAAGAATAAAAAAGTGGTCAAGGAACTATAGGTAAAATAAAATATAAGTGTAATTTTTACACACTTGGTCACTTAAAATTACAAACAAAAAGTATAGAGGAAAAATACTTCATCTGTTGTTGTACTGAACTGTAAAATAAACATAAAATAAATATTTGAACTGTTTCTTTACATTCTAATTGTCATTTTACTATAGGGGATATTCACATGTGTCGTGCTCTCATCATCATCTCAATTATCTTGGCATTTTTCGGATCAATCTTGGTCTTAGTGGGCATGAAGTGCACTAAAATTGGAGGATCTGAGCTAGCAAATGCAAGGGTAAGCTTTGCTGGTGGAATGAATTTTCTTATTTCAGGTACGTAATGTGTGGACTCCAACAAAGCTCACTTTTATATACTGTGTGCTTATTATATGTATAATGTCTCGATTTTAGGGATGTGCTCTATGGTGGCCTTTTCATTTTATGGGAATAAAATAAGATCGGAATTTCAGGATCCAACTTTCAGAGCACAAAGGTATAAACAAAAATAAGACATAATGAAAATCTTGTATTTGTTGTCTAATTGATGTGTGCTTGCGTTGCCAGGTTTGAAATAGGAGTTGGTGTGTTCGTTGGCTGGGGAGGCTCCACTCTACTTGTAGTTGGAGGTCTTCTTATCAGTATTTTTTTAGGAAAAGAAGGTTGCCGGTCCAGGTATTCTATTCTAATCATTCGATTTCTATTATTCTATTCTAATTAAGTCATTTATATTGTCTGGATGTTTCACTAACTCAATATTTACCCCCCAACAGCTCAGAGAGGTACCCTGTCTTCCCGTTGCCGGATGCCTACACCGTTGTCCCCACAAGAAAGAGCGTGGTGTCCTCTGCTCGGTCGGTGGTGACGCAGAGCCGAAAATCAAGGGTCAGCAGCAGTGACAGCAGAGCCAGCAGCATATCTGGGATCAGTAGTGTCACAAAGACAACAGCCACAAACTCATATGTGTGATAAAGGTTAAAGAGCTTTCAAACTCCTATGTGGATTTACTGTTGTTACATTACTTTATAGGGATGTAACGATATCCAAATCTCAAAATATGATATTATCACAATATGCATCTTGCGGTACAATATTTATTGCGATATTTTGAAGAGGCTAATATAATTGTAGATGGATATTTTTTTTTGCTTTTAAAATACCTTTACAAGATTTTTGTGTGAATTATTACCGTCATAACCCCAAGAATTCAAGTAAAAACATATCTCTTCATTTTGTCTGCACTGAAATGAATCATGGGATATGTAGTTCCCTACATTTATAAGCTGTTGCTACTGTAAAAACATGCATTTAAGCAAAGGAACTTGTGATTTCATATATTGTGAGAGCACACGATATTATTGTGAGACTTTTGACGATACGATATCACAATATTTCGGTTATTGTTACACCCCTATTAATTTATGGTCAAAACGTCTAATCACATGACACAATAGTACAAAAGTAAAAATGTAATTGTAGACCATTCCATGTTTTACTGGATGTTCACAGTAACCAAACTTACCAATGGCTTTCATATGGAGTATTTATTGTTGTTTCTTTGTCATGTATGTCCATATAACAACTTTAGCAACCTTTTGTTTATGTGCAGGCTTATAAAGATCTACTCCTTATATCCTTGCCATGAAAAGGCATTGGAAAGTTGTAACTGTATTTTTAATTCACAGGGAAAAGCAATAAAAACATAGAACTGGTAGCATTAATGATATCTTATTGCCTTGTCATAATTAAACAGATACAGGTCTACAAGCGTGCAATTAAAAGTTTGCCCTCTCAATTCAGCCATGTCTGTACTGGGTGTTGCAGCTGTGTAAGCCCTTATGAAGTTTGACGCCTAAACCACCATTGTAGCTGGAACCAGATATGAATCAAGGCATATGCGGTTGGGATTTACATAAACAATAATAATACAATGTAGTACTGTTCAGTTGAGTCACGCACACCTTGCGCACTCGCATGGTGGATGTCTCTTGTGCTGCCGTGGCTCCTCTCTGTTGAACCAATGGACAGGGGCGGGACTTTCCACGCGGTTCAGCCAATCACTGCGCCCCACGACCGGTTGGCTGAGGTCGGCTTCACCAGAGACGCTCCTCCGACAGGGAACTCCGAGCCAGTGCTGCTGTTAGCTGTCAACACATGGGACATTTGGAGAAACTTAATGACAGGCGAAACATTAGCCAAAATTTATATTGATCTACTTTGTAATACGTAGCGACAACGTGCGTCCCCGTGTTTACTGTTAAGTATGGTGTCCATCGGCCATGTAGCCCACAAGATAGTGAATTATATCCCATATCTTCTTGTTTTGATTGACATGAGGTATCAAGGTAAGGAAGTAGATTTTTGTAAAAACTATGTAACTCTTTTATAAAACGTGCTCTTGAAACCTTTATATACAGTCAAAGCTTGAAACGCAAAACGTGTTAGCAACTTTTCGAAACTTTGGCTAGCGCTAAACCTTATCCAATCAGTTTATCAATAATATGTTCTGATATTTCTGATCAATTAGCTGTCTCCAATCTCGTGAGGAGTAACATTACCTGCTATGATTAAGAATTATGGTTAATTATCCAACAGACTCTAATGCAGGGTTAAAGTTTACTGACCTTTCCTGACGCTTTATTTAGCCACATCTTTATTGTTTTTTCATCACGACAGTAAGAACCACTTTACGATATTTTTTCCCATGCTGTTATCAAGGATCTATTAAAAGGGTCTATTGAAAGGATCTATTGAAAGGATCTATTAAAAGGCTGCTATCCTGCCATCTCTGTCTGTCCTGCTCATGGTCCTGCTGTTAACCGTGTGTTGTAGCCTCAAAAGGTGCAGACTGTAATACCATATGGCTAAAGATGGGGGCCAAACACTTAAACCAATACTAAAGTGCCTGTACTTTTGATGTGATTATCTTTAAACTATTGTAGTTCATATGCTAATACCAAATGTATTCCAAGTAAATTTATTCATATTTTATTATGACTTAAAACAGGCATATCCAAAGTATGGCCCCTAACCTTAAACAGTACTTTTTACTGCATGTTTCTGAAAATCTACCTTCATAAAGCCAATATCAAATATGTAGTGTGTTCTGTTGAGGATCTAAACATGGACAAAGGTTTGGTGGCTTATTCTAACCAAAAGCATATATTTGAATTATTCACTGTGACCACCTGTCTAGGGCACTCAATCGGCCCTTTGCGTTATCTGTGCTTTTACATGTGACCCGTGATGAAAAAAAGTTTGGACACCCCTGACTAAAAGGACCGACCTAGAACACACTGTTTCATAACACATCCATACAGTTATATATAGCTATGATAAATTATTATATTGTGTCTCTCTCTAGGAGTCAAATCTGGCAGTGTTGACAATCACATGGAGATGGGTAAGAAGCTGCTTGCTGCTGGACAGCTTGCGGACGCCCTGTCTCATTTTCATGCAGCTGTAGGTAAGAAAGACTTCATGCGCAGGATAATATTTATGCCTTTTCAACATATCACTCACCAAATTGTGTTTTTACCAGATGGCGATCCAAAGAATTATTTGGCTTACTACAGAAGAGCAACTGTCTATTTAGCTATGGGCAAATCAAAGTCAGCTTTACCTGATCTGGCCAAAGTTATTGAGCTCAAGCCAGACTTCACTTCTGTAAGTTTCTCTTTTCAGTAAACACTCTCAGTGTTGCTTAACATTGTATTGCACGTAAATTCAGTGCTGATATAATCTGTTGTTACTACTAATGGAAATGCAAACATTAAGACTCCACCCTACTTAAAGCATCTAAAATATGACAGATAGAAATGTGTTGAAAAAATAGGTCATTTACCAGCTGTAATGATGTGTGTTTATCTGCTACGTTCTCCCATCAGGCACGGCTACAGAGAGGAAACCTGCTTTTGAAACATGGAAAACTAGATGAAGCGGAGAGCGACTTTAAGAAAGTGGCAAGTCTAAAAATAACATCTTGAAACTTTTTGAGAACAGACAGGATAGACATGAACTCCAGGAAGTAAACACCACCAGAAGGTGTCACTGTTGATCTGCAAACCAACTTTAATGATCTTCTTGCATCAATTTCTAAATAATACTTTTTTCTTATTTAATAGACAGTGGGTTGTTAATGTAATCTTAATTTTGTATTTGAACAGTTTTTAAATATCAGTTCTATCTCTAATGTTTTTAACTATGCCTATTAGGATCAATCTTTTTATACTCTTTAACATAGTAGTTTAACATGAACTGCTTTCAAAACACTCAGTGCAGTGTCAAGAAGCCTATATTCGGGAATATAGGACTAAGGTACCAATTGGAACAAAGCAGATTTATAAATGATAGCCATGACTCTACTAAATAAACATTTAGAGAAAGAAATGTGGAGGAGAACTCAGAGAGGTCATCCAGAATATCATGAGATCTGACCGGTAGTGCCCAGTTTTTGCCTCATCATCAACCTTGTAATTACTCTGGGCAATGCCTCACAAGTATACGCTTTCCATTGCTGTCCATCTCAATAACTTATGTCTTATGCAAGGTCCTCCAGGTTAAATACACAGAAAAACATGTTGCAATTGCCCAAATTTACAGATCTATAAAACATTTCTTGTGGTGTTTCAGTTGAAGTCCAACCCCAGCGAGAAAGAACAGACAGAAGCACAAAGTCTGCTGCAAAAATCTGATGAAATTCAGAGGCTCACAGCAGAGGCACATCGGAGCTTTAAGAACAAGGACTATGTGACTGCTGCATCCCAGCTTGACACCATCATTGAAGTAAGAGATGTTCCTTAATTTTCCAAAACTTAAAGTGCCTATGACAGGTTGGACTGCTTATTTTACTAAAACACACTTAAGATCATTATATTGACGATTTTCCAAAAGGTTTTACATTTGACCATTTTTCCGGTTTAAAATTTTACTTCCTGGTTGGAAATCATGACATCTCGCTAGGGAACTCCATTATTTTACCTAGCAACCATGTAGTATACTGGGCCAAAACTCATCTAATGTATACAGATTTTAATATTTGACCAAATCAAATTTAAGAAAACACCATTATTTTCTTGAAAAAATATGGGGGAAAATTGTGTTTCTTGTATGTAAATTATGTCATACTTTTGGATGGTATTCTCCCAGTGTGACGTCATCAGTACGCAACTTTCTAAAACAGAACTCTCTACTTCCTGTAATTTTCAAGAAACTTTTCAACTTTTTTCTCCACAAATTGCTTCTTGATTTGTGTAAAACAATAATTTATATTTACAACAGGTATTATCCCACCATATTACTTCAAAATTTGGGAATCATCAGAACCTTTCATGCGCACTTTAAGTTGGAGTCGCTAACAATTTGTTTTACAAGAGTAGCATTATTTAATGTCCATGTTGTTATAGACCTGTGTTTGGGATGCCAACTCTCGTGAGATGCGAGCCGAGTGCTTTATTCAGATGGGAGAGATGTGGAAAGCCGCCACAGACCTAAAAGCAACATCTAAATTAAAGAGTGACAATACACAGGCCTTCTACAAACTCAGCACCATCTACTATAACCTCGGAGACCACGAGCTGTCCCTCAAGTGAGTGCTGTTTGGCTATTCAATTGAAATCTTGTCTCTATCTGTTTTCAATCCGATGAGTGCCATGTTGAAATTGGATGGTTGAGAATAACACAATTTTTAAAGTAAAGCACTCTTAAACTCTTGTAAATGAAGTTAATAGTGATGTAAGCTATTTTCTGCAAATCAAACTGATGTCCAACTTACAGGTGGACCATATATACAAATTCTTAATGCAAATGGTTATTTTATAATGATATTTTATATGCAAAACTAATAAAAATCATGAAGAGTTCATTAAGATAGGAAATAAGATCTACCTTTCTTCTTCCACAATGGGGAAATTACAACATTGTTCAAGTTAAAATGGTCGATATCGCCCTCCACTAGACCTAACTAGTTTTTTTTTTGTTCGGAGCTTGTTTTGTACCTGTCTTGGATTATTAAATAAAAGCTCTGCCTCATTGGATCAAAAAGAACAAAAGAAATATACAAAAAGAGCTAAACTAAAGCATCAAACTAAAATAGTACAAATATTTTAAATGTGATTATATCGTATATCCATCAACTTAATCTATATACCACAGATTCTTTCCTGTAAGACATTTTGTAATTGAATTATGAAAAAAGGTGGGGTTAAGTAAGTTTTTCCTTCCTTCCACTCCCTTTTGGACAATTTACAATTAGTTGCTTGTCATGTAACTGGCCACCCACAATTTTTAATGTTGTATTTGACATTATACAAATTAAACTTGTATTTTCTGGTTTGCAGTGAGGTCCGTGAGTGTCTGAAGTTGGATCCTGATCACAAACAGTGTTACAGCCATTACAAACAGGTCAAGAAGCTCAACAAACAAATCCAATCTGCAGAGGAACTCCTCAAAGAGCAGAAGTACGTGTGTGTGCGTGTTTGTGTGTGTGACCGCTCTGAGAAGTCTATACTTGTGTAAATATATTATACCATAGCCTCCGTGTACTCCGAATTGCATCAGCTGTAGACAGACCATATCTTTATCCTCAAGCAATTCGACATCTCTGCCTCACAAACAGCCATGCAAATCCCATCATGTAGTGAATGGGTGTCACTTTATATCTGGGATACATAACATTTCACATTAATTGGCTCAGAATATAGTATGATGGGTATATGGTGCAATGACAGTGTTTTTATTTTAGCTGCATAAAACTTGGCATATGTTATGACAATATTCTCTGTGGCTTTTTTGCATTAATAAATAAGTACTATAGAAACTTTAGAGGCAATTTAACTGACAGTTAGCTACACAGTTTTTGGTTGTTCATGTAGTAGTTGGTCTGTGAATCACTCTTGAAATAGGATAGAAAATAGATATTAAATAGAATAAGAAGTCATACACAATATGACATGCAGGATTTACTTTTTATAAATCAGAAATGTTTACAGAGTGTACATTTAAAACTCATCCAGGAGCAGAAGACTAAACCATGAGAGGCTAAACTAATAGAGGAATCACTAGAATTTCACAACAAATTACAGTGTTCAAAGATGGTGGATAATAAGACAGGTTATGTTGTTTGCACATTATGTTGCTTAAATAATTGCAGTCTTTGCCATTTGCAAAATTGTTATTTCACTCCAGTCATGAATTAATCTTGCAACCCTAGTCATTAGTCATAGCTCACAGAAAATGGGAAAACGTTAATTTCCATTTCCACCATGCCCAGGTAAATGGACTGAGTCAACATCTAGAGTCAAACCGAAGCAATTTCAATATGCTGTGCAAGGATTGCTCTATCAAAAGACTTCATGAGTTTAATACTGGCTCTATCAAGTAAAGGTCTATCATTTTCAGATACACTAAACATTACTTGTCAGACCAGGCACTTGCTTACACAGTTTATATTTAAAGGGGTTGTATTATGTTACTTTCTGATTTGTTTTAATTTCAGCAAACACTCTGTTCCACTTTGTGATGTCATGTGGTAATACAGGAAGTGCTCCACTGTACTTTTAAACTCCATACATCTTCACTAGAATCATTTGGATCGTTTCATCTCTGCAATTGCCAATCTCTTCTGAACAAAAGATAAAAGGGAGCTATTAACTTGAAAACTACCGGTTCATGACATCACAAAGTGGAACAGAGCATTTTGGGGATGCAGACAGACTAATAATGCAGGATTACTCAAACATGCGTGAATGAAACAAAACACAATTTTGTGTATGTTTTTGATTAAGTAACAACATTCTATATGGTTTAAAGCTCATAAGAGTCCATTTTGCACATATAGCCCCTTAAACCCCTGTGTCATTCTTTATCAGGTACGAAGAAGCTGTTGAAAAATATGAGGCTGTGATGAAGACTGAGCCCAACGTGCATCACTTCACTCTCCTCGCCAAGCAGCGCATCTGTCACGCCCTGGTGAAGGTAAGACCCCTGGTGGCTGCCATATGATACACTTCAGCACAGAGAGTAACTATGGCCCTGTTTATGTCCCTGTGCGGTGTGCAGCAGGGCCAGCAGTCCAACAGAGCTGTGACAGTGTGCAGTGAAGCCCTGCAGTCAGAGCCAGACAATGTGTACACACTCAAGGACAGGGCAGAGGCTTATATACAGGAGGAGCTGTATGAAGAAGGTAGGTCCAATATGCAACATGTGGAAGTGTTTTTATGTGTCAAAGATAACAGACTCACTCAACACTAGGCTTATAATTATGATTCCTGTTTTTGTGCAACCTACCAGACAAAAGTTTGGACTCACCCTCTCATTCAACGTTGTTATACATATTTTTTTAATCGTAAAATTGCTATATAATTCCAGATATGATGTCCTCTGTGTGTGTATCAAAAATAGAAAGTAGTAAACATATAAAAAATAAAACATTGACATGTAAAGCTACATATTTATAATCCACATGTAGCCCTAGGTTTGGACTCACTTTCTCATTCAAAGTATGGCAGATTAGATGACAGTATAGGCAGGCACATCAGATCATTGTCTCAAATCCTTTAACAGCAAACGGATTAACTCAGAACAATGGCCTTTTGCAATAAATGCTTTCAATGTTATCAAGACAGATGTTGAAATCCATATGAATGCTGCAAGATTTTATCTGACAGTTATTTTACCATAAGCAGTTGTGTGCGGTTTTAACATCATGCATAAGCCTAGTAGTATCCAACTGTCAAAGAGTTTTGTAGCAATCTTTAAAGATATATGAAAATAAAAAAAATATATATGAAATTAAGAATCTTACTACTGACAATTTATACTTGCCAGGATGTATAGAAATTAATACTGGGACGCCTGAGGGATTGCACACACATTTGCCAGAATGTTTATTTTATAAAGCATTTAACTTTCAAATTCAAGCTTAACTCCATTCTACATAATATTAATTGTATTTCTTTGGTTGCCTTACAAAAAATGTCATTTATAAAAACACCACTAATATAAAAGCAATGCAGCTTTAGTCCATGTGTGAGGTAAAATTATAAAATAATATGTTTATTTTGTAATTCCAAATTAGTTTAAACGGGCTGGTCACAATGTACAGAGAACAGGTCTGTTCTAAATATTCAGCTACTCTTACTTTCCATACAAATTCTAGTATCCTTGAGGAAATTATATAGATTTGAATGTATTACTAAATACTAACTCGATTTAGTACTTTATAACCTACTATTGTCTGATTGTGTGCAAATTTCAGAATAAATATGCTGCAGTAGCCTGACACTAATGATGTACAGTGCAGTTAGCATCGCATTTGCACCAGAGGGCTGTTAGCTGTGGAACCAAAGCTCATTGGTGTGAACACATCAGCAGGTGGGGTGCCAGGCAAAGGCTTTTAAACTGTCAGGACCCATGGGTGTTTGCTTCACCCCACTACACCTTACAGGGTAAACAATCCTCAAAGCAAGTCAAACGTGCACACCCCAACAGCCCCGAGCCCCTGCCAAATGATCTGAAGGTTAGCTGGTTTACTGGCTGGTGGAATTGTGAAAAGTGCTTTTTTTGTTGACAGAAAAATTATAGACTTACAATGGAACTATTGAGAGTGTTAAGGATCTGTTTGCACAAAACACAACTGACATAATGTGCATTTCTGTTCATTTGCAGCCATTAAGGACTACGAGAGTGCTGCAAAGCTGAATGAAAATGACAGAGAAATCAAAGAAGGCCTGGAAAAAGCTCGGAGGTTGCTGAAACAGTCCCAAAAAAGAGATTACTATAAAATATTGGGAGTAAAAAGGTGAGTACCACATTACTTAGAGATATAAATCTCATATGTGCTCTAAATGTTGTGAGCTTTAAGCCATGTTATAATGCTGTTACCTCCTCAAAAACATACCTGGAATTGTATTTTGTTTCATTCACACATTCACATCTCCAAAGCTCAAAATTCTCTGTTTCACCTTGTGATGATAGTAAAAAGACAGTGGAGCACTTCCTGTATAACCATATGACATCATAAGCTAGAACAGAGTGTTTTCTGAGCAAAGAACTTAGCCTAAATAGGCAGGGTTTGTGTGTTAAATGAAACAAAACACAGTTTTGTGTGGCTAATTTATCCTCTCTGGCTGCAGGACCGCTCAGAAAAAGGAGATCATCAAAGCCTACAGGAAACTAGCTCAACAGTGGCACCCGGACAATTTCCAGGATCCAGAGGAGAAGAAGAAAGCGGAAAAGAAGTTCATAGACATCGCTCAGGCAAAGGAGGTCCTCACTAATCCAGGTAATACACTAATCAATCAAAAATAATTAAGTTCACATTTCCTTTTTCGATTTGGTACTTTGACATTGTGAACTTGTGCCATTGCAGAGATGAGAGAGAAGTTTGACCATGGAGAGGACCCAATGGACCCAGAGAGCCAGCAGGGACAAAACTTCCATCAGCACTTCTATGGCGGCTTTCCTGGATCTCAGGGATTTAACCCATTTGGGTCAGGAAATTTTCACTTCAAGTTTAACTTCAACTGATGAGCTGAACTTGGTGGATACTGGTAATTTTGTCCCTGTTGGAAAGGGAAAATATTGGACTGCTGTGCCTTGGCACATAAAGTGTTCAGCAATTGTGGACCAATGCGTGACCTCATTAAAGATGCTGAGTTGATTGAGACAATTCTGATTTTGTGAGGTGTTTGTGCCATGTGTGTCATGGGGAACGAAGTCACTGCCACTTTACACAAAGTGTAATGGTAAATTTCGGGTTGTACGTGTATTTTTCTATTTGTGAAGGTTTCTAAATAAGATCTATTTATGTACTTGAAATAAAAGTGTTAACAAATGTCTGAGTTGTATACACATGGTATCAAGAAAATTAAATCTACAGTAAAATAATATAAAAGGAAAGAATGGCATTCACAGCCTTTGTCAATCAATCCAGCACATGGACACCACAATTAAACATTGTAATGTTTTCTAGAAAAGATTTATTCTTTCCCAGCAGACCACAGTACAAACACTGGTATTTGACACAGCACAGTGAAGGATGAGTGCCCTGAGACCAGTTCTGCTGCACCTTTAACAGACTGATTCCACTGAGCAGCCATCTTATTCCTGAGATAAAGTACTGGTTCAAGCATAAATAACACATTTACAGACAAAGAAATGTAAACATTTTAATAAATTAAAATTACAATTTTGTAATCAGAATATTGAAAAAAAATTTCTGTGTGTGTGCATTTTTTTGTTTTTTTGAATTTTATTGAATGCTGTTTAAATCTTATTATAGTTTTTCAGTGCAGGAAATGGCCATTTCTAAGTTTTATTGATTCAACAATGTGCTTTTTTTAAAATGCATTTTCAGTAAAAGCCACACCGCCAACCAACACAGCGTGACATGTATAAAAATATGTACCCTCAGGATGAGGGTGTAACACTTGGTTTGGAAATGTCTTTAAGATTCACAGGTGCCCTGTGTGCAAATGATGCAGCCTCCTCGTGTACAGTATGACTCTGGCAGATACTAAAGTTCATCTTTGTGGATATCTGTAGCACAAGAGGAAACAGAAGAAGTGAGTACATTCATTTTGGACTAACTATAATGACAGTACATTAGTTTTGACACAAAACAGACCTTTTGTCCGTGAGGATGAGCCCTGCCTTTCTAATACTGTCTCCTGTTTCTCTTGGACTCCTCTCAGTAGCCGCTTGATCTCGTTGTCATATTCAACCCACTCAGGCACGATCCTGGCTGCTGCTGTGAGCTTGGGCTCCTTGGTCTTTGGGTTATTGCACTGTGAGAAACACAGACGAAAAGTATCAGTCAAACAATCACTGCCGTTTTGCACCAACCAGTCTAATCCCCAGCACTGTCTGTGGTGTGCATTTGGACCTAATTTGATTTCCCATTCTGTTAAAAGGACATTAGAGCATGTCTTGTGTCTGAATTACAAAGTGCTGTTCTAAACCACAATGAGACAATGCTTCCTATTCCAGTCGACTGGAGCCTATCCAGTAATTCTCTAAATTAGTTTAGGAGACTGCAGGATTGCTCCACAGTAGCTTCCTAAATGTCAAGTGCCTCATGTATGTTCACGGCTGAAAATGTTGCTATTGCTTTTCCATGCTGCAACTAACATGAAATACAATCAAAGTTTAAAAAGAGACACATATACGGCATGTAAAATCTTTATGTACTTTAAAGAGCCCATATTACGGTATGTTGTCTTCCGATCTATGTTATAATGCTGTTTCCTCATCCCAAACATACCTGGAGTTGTGTATTGTCTCATTCACACGTTTAAAACATTTCTTCTCTCAAATGGAGACCTTGTGATGCCATGTGGTAATACAGGATGTGCTCCACTGTGTTTTTAAACTCCATATGCCTTCACTAGAATCATTTGGACAATTTCAGGCATAGAATTGACTTGAAAACTATTACCTGATGACATCACAAGGTTGAACGGAGCATTTTGAGCTTTGGAGATGTAGACAAACTAATAATAAATGGTTTCTCAAATGTGTGAATGAAATAAAACACAACTTCAGGTATGAGGAGGTAACAACATTATAACATGGCTTTAACCTCACAAGAGTCAATTTTGAGTAATATATGACCTTTAAAAAAATATTACAAATGAAAAATAGAGTGAGCATTACGTCTATCAGTTGAAAAAAGTTGGGCTGTGTATTTTTGGCACTCACCAGATCTATAGTTTTGGCTGTTGTTTTGGACTTGTCATCACACCATGTCTCGCACCACAGCCACTCCTGCGGCAGAGACTTGATTGCTACCTGGTGGATCATGTTGTTTGGAAGATCCTAAAAATTACATGGCACAATTAAATTTCACTTTTCTCAATAAATAATTAATATAACAATTTAACGGGGGTACCTGATCAAGGTTAGACAAACTGTTAGGGTCTTGGCTTAATGCTTGGTACTGGCCTCGTAATCTGTCCCCAGCAGCGATTTTACGAAACTTCTTCAAATCCACCACGTACAGTGCACTGGTTACAAAAGGAAGAGCAGGGTGAGATAATCCAAGTCTTACAAAAGCTCAACAGGCCCGAGTATTATAGAAAACGAATGTCTTCAATAACAACGAACCCCCTGCAGCTATATTAGCATAATGGTACTTAACATGGCATATTAATAAGTAAGGATATGCAAATTAACTCAAAATGAGAAACCAAAGTTGACTAATGAAGTTCCTAACAAAGATCTTATCAAAGACATCCTGTTTTTTACTTTCCAATCTTCCAAGCAGCCATGACAAAATTTAACACTAGCTTAGGGCTGAGTAGTACCGTGATAAAAATTATACCGCGATCTCATTCTTGTGACGATATGTAATTTTGACAAAATTTTCATAATTACTGTGATTCACAAATTTTCTCTAGGCTCCCCTATCATCTGTCATAAGTACTCACAGAGAAATGAATAATTTCTTAACGTAAGTTAGAGAATCTAGGCCAGAATGTACAAGTGCTTTCACTTCACAACAACTGAGAGAAGAATCGGGCGGTGTGGTCTACTCATATATTTTCCAGGGTTTTTTGTATTCTGGTCTAATAAAACATACAAGACAAATTTCCCAAAGTTGGAACATAGTGTAATAACTGTGTTGTTGTCCTTTAAAATATTTGTTCAAGTTGTACAATATCCCTTAGCCGACCGGTAGCAACTGAGGCATTTCTTCACTAATGTAGTAATTATATTATTAGTTTAATCATTTAATCTTGTTGCTTATAGGTATTATACTAACAATTAGAGAAATGTTAAATTCCATTTTTGTATGTTGTTAATGATGAATTCAGGGTCATTTATCATCTTAGTTGGGAGGGTATGTAGACTAGCTTACAACCAAATCACTAACTACTCCTTTAGTTTCTTTGGGTAAAACTTAGGCAATAGATCCATAAATATGAAGGTAAAGAAAAACATTATTCTCTATCAACAGAATATCATTGCCACACTTTTGAATGACAATCTCAGAAGGCTACCTGATGTGATATTTTCTGTGTCCCAGATGTGAAGCCCAGTACCCAGACTTCCAAAAGCGATAACCGTCCATCTCTTTACGACTGTCACAGAACGGTGTGTAGCCATAAGGTGCACCCTCCAAGTCCAAGTCCCTCAACTCTTTCAAATCAGCACGTACTATCTGTTGAAAAGGTAGTAAAGTTTAAAAAAAAAAAAGTATTAAGTATTTAGTATTTTATGTTTTATGTAGCTTTACCCAATTCTAGTAGCAGTATTTCATGTCTTACCTGGTCAGCATCCACAAAAATGATCTTATCCACAGCTAATGGGAACAAAACATCCAAAAAGAGGATTTTGTATCCCCAGATGATGCGCTGCTTCTCTGTCTGTTGGTGGAGCCAGCGAGGCCATTTGTACTGCACTAACTCATACTGAAAACCGTACGCCTGGGCCATGTGATGGATGGTCTCCTAACAACCAAACACAGAACTTCATTAACAGAAGATTCTGGTGTGTAGACACATTTTAAAGAGCAAAAAAACAAAAAAGAAAGGTGTTGGTATACATAAAGTATAAAAGTGAATCAAAACTAATAATAATCTTACACCTCTGTATTTTTAATTACCAGGCAACAACATTAAAGTAAAACAATTCTTCTGATTTTCAAAGAGTAGCCCGTACCTTAAAGGATGGTGAGAGATAATTCTTGAGGAACCAGAACTTGACAGGTGTCTGGGTGTGCCGAAGGACAGACAGCATCATTATTCTGAAACCGAGAGGAGACAGAGGGTTCAGGACGAGTGAAGGTGAAGACAGAGAAAAGCAAAAAGCAAAGCTGAAAACCAGCATGACCCACCTAAGAAACCGCTCATACAAATGTCCCGAGGCCACAGAAAATATGTTCAGAACATCCTCTTTCTTCTTGTCTGCGTCCTCCTTCTTAGAGCCACCACCAGTGATGCTGTTTAGACATTTGAAACAACAAAATCATTTTTGATAAGTTTTGATCACTGCATAGAATAAGACTAGACTACTTTTTGAAACAAGCCATGCAGCAAATAGAATAAACACAACCAAACCAAAAATACATTATGAAAAAAGTCATTACACTTTCAAGCTCATTTCATTCATTTACATCAAATATTCAGCAGCTACTAGCTTTTCTAACTACTAAGGAAGCTCAAAATAAGACCCTTGATTAATGTTTAGCAGACTAATAAAATGTTTCATGCTGAATTTAACATGGGTCACAACAGTACACAATGTTAAAAGTGGCAGCTAATGCAGGGCACATTTGGTGGTCACAAATCAGGCTCGGTGCTGCAGGGCAGTTGAGTCAGACTGGATGTCCTTGTATAAAACGACTGCTGATGAGGAGGAGTCTGTCACACACTCCATCACAGACTCAGGGCGAGTCCTGAGACTTCCACAAAACACAAATGAGAAAATGGAGAGAGGAGGAGAAGGGAGGAGCAACTGGTCTCTAAGTGTGTTCTTTGACTGTGGATGACTAAATAAACCAGCAGTGACCATCTTCTTTATCTGAGAAAAATTTCCATGGAAACGTGCCAGTAGTCTGGCCAGCCACGATCAACCTTTCTTTTCTTCTAACTTCCACAGGATGTAGACAGTAATGGATATCAAATGTAGACAGTAATCTATAAGATAAGAAGTCTCTCTGACCTCAGTGATGCAATACAAGCTGCAGATTTGAAGAAGATTCAGAAAGATGTAGTGGAGTGTTTCACACAAACTGTATTTCTATTAGTTGTGATGCTACCATTGTGTATTCAGATTTTGGATTTGGATGTATTCTCCATGTAAGATAGATATTGTAATGTGATAAATTAGCACACTAGTATAGTATAGTGTAGTGTAGTGTAGTGTAGTGTAGTATAGCTCTTGCCATAAAAGCAAGACTGACGGGAAACAAGTACATTTGAACATGGAGTATGGATTAAAAGGATCAAAACTTTCCAAAGAAGCCACTGGAGCCTACATGTGCTTTACTGACGCCGAGTTTCACCTCGCCAAATCTTCGGAGGTGTTAGATCAATACATGTCTGCAGGCTTGCCCTTTAAAATGAATCACTGCTAGCATTCAGAGGTTACCAATGAACTCTGCTGTATTGAGACATCTTTGCTTTCACAGCGAAAAGGAAACTTGTCATGTTTGAAAAATGGTTTGACTTTGGGTTTATTTGAAGTCTGAACATGTGGGGTGAAAAGTACACAACAAGTCTGTAAACATAACACCTTCGTTAAAAAGAATTATTGAGCCACAAAAAAAATCTGCTCACCAAAAATACTGAAGAAAACCAATTTCTATGTAAAACACTTCTGCCTCTACTGCAGGCAAACTTTATCTTGAGTGTGATAGCATAAGACAGTATTGCCAAGATCCCCTCTGGCCAGTTACTGAAGGCCCTCCAAACTTGCAAATTGCTATTTCCAGTACTTACATTCTGTATAGCATTCATAGCCTACAAAGCTGTAATCATAATTCAGTACTATGAAAATCTAATTAAACACTGTTCATAAGTGATACATTGCATTATATCAACAGGGTTCAGGATATTATTATTCACTTCAGTGTTGGTACTTTGTGGAGCAATCTTAAAATTTAATTTCTAATATTACAGCTAACGCAATAGCCCTCATTTAACTACGGCTACTGAGGAGGCCACCCACTTAACCCTCCACTTAAAAATACTTCAATGTAAGTTGGACTTGCATTTGGCACCTTAATTAGTCTAAGCATAAGATAAAGACTGAATTCATAATGACCAAATAGTTTATTTAAGAATGATTCAGGCTTAGTAACTACTTAATTAAGGGGTTTTAGAGGGAGTTAGGGTTGGGGAATTATGTAGTTACTGAGTAAGGGTGCATCAATACAATACTCAGATATATTGAAACTTTGGTGGATCGATATCGGTTTTCAAGATAGCAGTTCAGCATCCAATTTTGGTATATAAATTTGTGAAATAAGACAATTTACTAGCTAATGCTGGCCCAAAACATCCCATAATATTAAAGCTGTTCAGTAGTTACAAAACACATCTGGATAGTTGGCAGAGACTGAAAATGTATCGTTTAATATCAAGCAGATACTCAAAGTCAAAATATGAACATCAGTGTCGGAACAGAAAAACCTGGATACATCCCTATTACTGAGCCTGAATAATAAACTGTTCATTATGAAGTCAGTCTTTGTTCATGCTATATTAAGACTAATTAAAGTGTAGCGATTATGAAGTGTTACCATTACAACAGTGTGTAAATAGGCTAACAGTATGTGCCCAAAGGATAGTCTGAGTTGCTGATGATAATTTGCGAGCACCAAAGCATATGCCATTACATTAGAAAAAAAATTAGCCAATAAACACTGCATGCTAATGACTGTGACAAATAAGTGTTAAATGCGATACCGCGCCGCAGCCTACCTTTTCTCTAAAGTGCTCCAAACACTTGAAAAAGCAGGCATAAAGTGAGGAGATAGGATCACACAGTTAGGAGGTGTAAGGACACGCACTCACACACGCACACACAGGCAGACACAGGCATTTCATTATCACGCACATACCTACAGAAGCACATATTTTTTGCTATATTAGATCTTACAGCATAATATCGCAGCATGAATCCCGGGGATGAATAAGACCTCCTGAAAACCCCAATGAATAGATGAAATACAGGGTCCAACAGTTAAACCAGCAACTGACCTAACAGTTATTACCACCAATGAGCCCAGGTACCATATATATTCTAAGATGGGCTTTAAGATGTAAAAAATAAGTGTAACTACCTTGCAATGGAGTCCCAGATGCCTCCGCTTTCAGTCGATTCACTCAAAAGATCTTCGTTGATTTTATCAGGCTTTTTCTGTACCTGCATTTGGGAGATGATGAGAAGTTTTGAATTGTGGGGAAAAATTATATTTCAAAAGAAAGTTCAGTTTGTCATACTTACTCTGACTTTAATGATCTTGCTGTGGAAACTGTTAAGTACAACAATAACGTCACCAGCATCAGCAGGAGAGTCAGTGCCATCGTGTCTGTACAGAAAGAAAGAAATGAAAATCAGTGTTTACTTAGCATGCTTTTATGAAAGAGTTTTTACACAAGTTATGACAGTTTTTGTGCCATTCTTGTAGATTGGTAGATTAATTGAAATATTTTACTGTAATTCCACAGTAGTATTATTATTAGAGATAGACCAATATTTACCAGCTCCAGCAGAGACAATATTTAGTTTGGTCCATCTAGCAGTTTAATGAAAACTATATGCACAAAGCTTTGTTTGAACACTTTAGTCCAAAGAGAGTACTGCAAAAAATGTGTCTACACTGCTCTTTACTCAGTTTGTATTAAAAGAAGGTAGTGGATAAGTTTGTGTAAAACTTTAATTCGATAATTTGGGGAAAAATTTTGAAATCGGCTCAACATATTGGCCCAAAAACATCGGCTAATTATTATCAACATAACTGTGCACTTAGCATAATTGTGTCTGTGTGGGTCCTAATTTCAATTATTGGTAACGAATATTTATGCACTGCCAGCTGTTGACCTCAGAAGAAAGTACGGACTAATGTATTAGTAATACTTTGTGATTCACGCAGAACAACTGCCCACACATGTTTATTTTTTACCAAGAACTTTTCATCACAATTAAAATGTTATAAATTGTTTTGTAAGTTTGTGTTCAAAATAATAAAAAAAATATATAATAATATGTTATCGCTTGTGCAGTCCTAAATTAAAAAGGTGCACTGCATAACTTTTCTGGTCTGTAATGTGCTTGTTTCCATGGAGAAAATAACATCGCAATGGAGACAAGCAGGTGACAGACCTTCGCCTAAAATGTTACACAGTATAGCATTAAACATCTATCCAGCATTTATTTAATTTACAAGTCTTTTAATTCAAACAATACCTACCTATAAATTGGGATTATTTTGCAAACAGGTGGTGAACCATGTACCATTGAAATTACACAGTGCACCTTTACTGTTGGAATGTTATATTTCCTAGAGCAGCAAAACTTTTAGAATCAAAACCTGTGTAATACTTGTTGACAATGCCCAAAAGAGACATGCCATATTCTGACAAATTCAATAGAAAAGCTGTCCACTGCTCAAAGTATATCTCTGACCTGTCACTGTATAGGTTGAAAATTGATTTGGACAGTATACACCGTGCTTTGTCGGGTAGGATTATTCCAGGTCAAAACATTACAAAGACCTGAAGTTCCTGATACTGGACTAACTACAGCACAGAAGTCCCAGAAAAACCTAACCATATCACTTTGATGAATGCCCTCCCCTGCTCCATATTAGGAATAAGTGCATTTCCCCCTTATGCCTAAGTGCTGCTTGTGCAATGGCCCTCTTCTGTCACTCTCTGAAACTGAGCTTTTACGGCCTGCGTTAGAAAGCACTGGAGATCAATCTGTATTCCAGCTTGGAGGAGAGAAGAAGCGGCTGTCTCATTCATCGCTGTCAGGATCCAGTGCAGCAAAGAAGCAGGAAAAAGCATGCTCGGGGACTAGAGACCGCGGACACTCCCACTAGGCTCTGATCGGCCACCTAACCAGAGCAGAGCGCCGCTAACCACAAGAATAATGACACTGCCAAGGTGAAAAATGACATCACCTCTTAGCTCCACCTGGAGGATTGGGGAATAAATCTTGGGTTGTCTGATATGATTTCAGTGGAACCAAAGGCTATATGTGTCCTAAATCTTAGTGCGAGGATGGCCTGGCAAAGACACCATCAGTGACTGTAGTGAACATCCTATATTGCGTTTTAAGAGAGCGATTACGACAGATTTGAGATTGGGTCGGGTTATTATGTCTTATTTGAGGGAAGGTCTGTTTATCGTTGTGGGCACTTAAATGAGTCGAGAACATTATTTGCTGTGAAATAAAATCTACAGAAAAGTCGAGAAGTAGCAAAAGTTACAAAAGTATGTGAGAAAGAGTGAAACCCACCAAGGCACAGCACTGTTACAGTTTGTCCGGGGAAATTAGAAAACACCAACGCATAGTGTGGAGTAAATGCAGCCTTTGACTCCTACGCTGTCCAGCTCCCCACACTCTGCTGCTGATATTGTGCGCTGTGAGGTGGATGGCATGGCAGGTGACCAGCTGAATCATCTCCGCGCTCGCTCTTCTTTTTAATAGCAGCCCTTTCCTCCTACCTGTCTCTCCCCCCTCTGCGCAGAGCACAACTCCCTGCACTCATCAAAACCTTGAGCTGCTACAGTGTCAGCAGCTCTGTGTTTCCATAGTGATGGGTTTCATAGCTGCTACTTTAAAAATGAAAAATGTACCTGAAAACAAGCTTCATAGGGAGATACTGATCAATTCAGTAAACTCATACAAACATCATCTTTGGCACTTTAAACTGCCGAGCATGAATGATGTGAAAGTGAAGGAACACCTACGCCACAATCTGATAGATGTCTTCTGATCTTCCTTTACGTAACCGCAGGATCCACGCACCCGGATTGGTTTTCAGTTGGAAATACCCCTGTTAAAATGGAAACATTTAATCAGTACTGGTCACTTACAGGGATTTACAAAGACTGTGTTGGTCACTGACCAGGTTTGCCATGACAATGGTGTCATACATAAGTGGATTCTGGCTCATGCCCAGAGTGAACTGCAGTCCACGGGGAGGCTGCCCAGTTGAAAGGTCAAAGCAGTGGCCTTCCAGCAAAAGGTGCTCCAGCTCATATTCTGCAGAAACAATTCCACTCACCTAGAGCGACACATCAGTTTCAGTACCCAATACCCATAAAAAAGACTAATCCGCTTAAGTTCAGACAATTTGTAAATGGTAAACAAAACAAATTGCAATAACTTGCAAATCCCATAAAACGCAGAAGAATTCACAACAGAACATAAACCACAGTCTCAAATAAGCACATGGATTTGATAGCCCCACCAGGGAATAACATCTACGATACAATTACAAGATGTAGGAGTGGGAGCACCCAATAAAATAGAAATCAGTAAACAACTACAAAGTCCTAAAAGTACCACTATTAGTAGTTTATGAAATATTTAGTTAGCACCGAGTACCTCCAGCAGGTGAATGTTGTCCAGGTCATGTGGACTGTTCACCGCCTGCACCATCCAGCTCTCAGGGGTGATCATGTTGAGGGTGAGGAGGGGGGATTCGGGGAGGTCCAGGAAGCGTGCCACAGGTCCTGCTGATACTGTATCATTGGCTAAAAACTTTACATCGGGGTCCAAGACGAAACGATAAAAGCTAAAAAACAAAAACAACATTTCACTTTACTATGCTGCAGATGAGACTATAAAAGCCTAACCCGGGAGAATATTTTTTTATAGACAATTGAAATCAACAAAAGGTTTTTTGTTTTCTTCAAGGGATAAAAAAATTATGATGACATATTGTGCAATAGCCCGCATCCTAGAACAAGGCAGTGTGTTGTGATAGTTGGGTATACATGATCTCTTACAAATAAAGGCATCTACTGTACTGTCATTGTATATGTTTATTTATTGTTTTTAAAAAACAATAATAATAATACCAAGTACTTAGCCTGGACAGCAGTGCTGCTCAGTGTGTTTTAAAGAGTAATTGTTATACTAATGCTTGGTCTACATCTTCAGTTTGTCCTCGAACATAAGAGGTATGAATGGGTATTAAACTATTAAGATCATATGTATTATTCACAAGAAGATTCCTTCAAAATAAATACAAAAATTGTGGCAGTTAATAAAGCAGACTCTATAAATAATAAAAGCATTGAAGACTATAAGGTACAAGAGGGTTCAAGGGTGTTAGGGAAAATACAGTAAGTATTGTCCTAAAGAATCCTAGAGTTGTACAGAGAGGCAGAGACTCTAGAGCAGGTGTCAAACTCATTTTGGTCTGGGGCCGTATTCAGCCTACTTTGATCCCAAAGGGGCCAGATCAGAAAACTCAGACATATAAACTCCAAAAATAACAATAAGTTCAAATATTTGTGCAGAGAAACACAAATCTATTACAGAAATCTTTTTAATTGATGAACTCTTTCTTTTACCAAATATTATAATATTATGAACAACCTGAAACTTTAAGAAAAATTCTATTTCAACACAATGTTTTAACTTTAACTTGTATGCAAACAGGAATAAGTCAAATTTTCTTGGAAAATCCTGCACTCGGCTCCACTTTCTCATTTTGGACATTTTTCCGATGAGGGTGTCACGGTCAACAGTCAAAACGATCGTCATTTAAGAGCGTTTGGAAAGAGACAAGTCTTCATTTGTGCTGCTCTGGTGGGAGGGGCCACGTACAGAGACGCTGGAGACGCTGCTGTGATAAACACCACAGAAAATTTACAAGATTTTAATAGAAAATATAATTCAAATATTTTAGTAGAAAATCACCCAAGGCCACATTAAAGGTCTTGGAGGGCCGGATCTGGCCCCGGGCCGTATGTTTGACACCTATGCTCTAGAGTCTGAGGGAGAAGTTTATTTACCATCAGTCCAGGACTCCATGAACTTGAATACTCAACACTGCACGTTAGTATTGGGTATTCAAGCCTGACTATGCTTCCACACAAGGAGGTTTAAATAAGAGCTAAGAAGGGCAGCATGGAGACATGCTAGCCACGATAAAATGAGAAGAGCATTGCAAAAAAGCTTCTATGAGACGAGTTGACCAAGAAAACTAATAAAGGTGTAAAGTCGAAGAAGTAAAGGTGTAAAGTTAAAGAAGTAAAGTTAAAGAAGTAAAGTTAAAGAAGGTGTAAAGTTAAAGAATTATGTAATAGTTGGATGACTCCACAGCTAACCTCAGAGAAATGTCCAATGAACTGGAGCTGTCCTTGCTAAGACTATGCAGGGGATGCAAAATTCTACAACAAAGGGTTGTACGTGAGAGCTAGAATATTAGATTTAATGCTACTGTTGATAGGGCCCATTCCTCAAACCCAGTAGAGATATAAAATAACCAGCATCCCAGTTTATCCCTCAGCCTGGCCACCAAGTAAAGAATACAAGTGAATCCACTGATGCGCCTGCCAACAGTAAAGGCTTGTCTGTATCCCTGGGGATTACAGCAGTTGCCATGACAAGTGACATGACTCTGGAATTTACACTGTGTAAATGCTATGTACTCTGTTTGTGCTCTTTGACATCTACTCATTAAAATGAATATCACAGTTCAGAGGCAGAAAGTGTGAAAAAAGTAAAAACTAAATAAAAAAGAGCAAAATAATATATATATGTATATCTCATGGGCAGTTTAGGCCTTTTCTACGCATTTTGCAGACCTGCTGGTTTGTGCCACATCTGCGAACACTGTGAGCAATTTGCTAGTAGAAGCACAGGGAGGCCCAAAGCAATAAGACAGTGTTATTAAGCAGATTGCATCTGCGCAGTGCAATCTTACAAAGGGAAGACACAGGGCAGGGCTGCTAAGTCTGCAGTGGTCAGAAGATTCACAAACACACCAAACAAGAAAATTTAATTACTGATACAGCTACTACCTACCTCTTGAGGGGCATCTCGGATAGCTTGGACTTGCAATTCATAAACAGCTGCAGCCTCATGTTGACCACTTGACCGAGCACCTGCAAAATGCAAAGAGAGCAAGGGCATGATCAGGTTCGGCTGCCAACTAGACCAGTTAACTTTTTTATATCATAAAATTCATATCACAATTCTTATGCAGATACACAACATTTTTATAGGGAATACTGTATACAGTAAAAAATGACCAAAAAGTTTGCAGGCTGATTAAAAATAAAACACGCAGGCACAATCTATGGAGTTTATTTTTACAGTCCTTTCACATTTTGTGGACCTTAACCAAGACATGCACAGTCACAATTTGCACATATCTACTATATACTTGATTTTGAATATCATGATAATCCATGTTGTTTTAAAAAGAGATATGAATTCATATTGCCCGCCCCTGGTTAGGACAGTTTGGTGATGAACATACATAGATATAATTATTACAAAGTTCTGTACTGTAGTGGTAACTAATGACTTTATAGTATAACCATTATTGTATTGGCAGCACACAGACTAACTCATCTGTCACTAACAATAAAGAAATTTGTGGTAAATGTCAACCTGAATAATATAGATACTTACATAACATTAAGGCAATAAAATGGAATATTTAAAGTAGTTAAAATCACTTGGATGGACAGTAGTAGTTTATACATGTGTCGATGTATTCACAAAGATATTTCAGTAAATTTTCTTCTTGTTCTAAGCTAATGTATCTGCCAATGGAGAAAGGTTTGCTTCAAGTGATTTTTTTAACTCCACAGAAATACTTGTTATACAAATACAAAACTTATCAGTTAATCTCAATATATTAGTGTTACAACTTACATTGAGTAATGATGACAGCTTCTGTGCTGCTCTCGTGAGAGGGTCAACAATAGCCACCACATCATAGAAGACCTCATGTTCCCGTGGAGACAGGTGGAGAACACTGAAGATAGATAGATACGTTATTGATCCTTACGGAAATTCACAAATCCCAAAATCCACAAAAGTTGAAGACAGTGTAATGGTATCACACAGGTAAAGGGACCCTAAATTATGTGCTCATACGTCAACTGACCTGTGTGTATCTTTCAAAAAGCGGATGTCCCGTCTGACCTCTCCTTTGGGTGCTGTATTTAGGAGGGCATCAACTTTCATCACCAAGTCTATGGCCCTGTAATAGAAGAGGAATGTAGTTAAGCCATTATAATCTTAAACCAAGTACGCAACAAGCACTGAACAAGAGTAAATCCCCAAGAACTAAGAGAACATAGATTGTATTTAAGAAAAAGCTGACTCAAACATACTGCTTTGGCTTGATTCCCATCTCTTGCACCTTGGCTAGGACTTTCTCTGCAGAACCACTCAGAGTAATCTTCTCCAACAAGTGGAAATCGTCTACAGTGAACTCTTCCTCCTCGTTAAATGGAACAAGAATCTGCAACAATGTAAATTGTGGGAAAATTGCAATTAACAAATAGTTTAACAAGGAACAACTATTACACCAGTCTGGTTTACTTTTGTATTTGAAAGAAAGATATAAATATAGCTCACCCTGCCATTACTGATCACTGCCCGCTCTCCAGGACCTAGCTTCAACACTTCTTGGCAGAACAGCTGCTGGCTCTGAATAAAATCCACTTCCATTGTATTGAACTTTTTCTCAAAGGCATCATCATCCATTCCCTTAAACAATTAAAACACAAAAATACAATAATAAATATACAAGCTATTATACACATTTCATATTAAAGGGTCCATATTATGCTATTTTCGGATCTATGTTATAATTTATTTTCCTCATCAAAAACATACCCAGAGTTGTGTTTTGTTTCATTCACACATGTTCAACACATAAATCCTACATATTTAGAGTTCTTTTCTCAAACACAAAACACTCTGTTTCACCTTATGATGTCATGTGTTAATACAGGAAGTGCCCCACTGTGTTTTTAAAATCCATACATGCCTTCATCAGAATAATTTAAGATAATTTCATACCTGAAATTGCCAATTATTACTCAATAAAAGGTAAAAAGTAGCTGGGACTGCTTCATAACATGGAACAGAGCATTTTAAGCTCTGGAGATGTAGACAGACTAATAATGCAGGGTTGAATGAAACAAATATGATATGTTTTTGATGAAGTAACATTCTAACATGGCTTAAAGCTCACAAGAGTTAGTTTCATGTAATATAGAACCTTTAATATTATAACTAAATAGATGTAATGTATAATACTGTGTAGTTTTTTGTAAGCATATTGAAGCAGCCCCTTAGTAATTTCAGTGCATTTTTCCAACATAAAATATTTCAGCCGGTCAAAGTAGCTGTCAAAAATGCACAGGTGAAAATGAAATTAAATCAATTTGTAATTAATACAAGAAACTCTTAATTAGACCATGTCCATTTTTGTCTATAACAAATTAGGTGTGGGAGAGGGGGAGGTTTGTGGGCCGGCTTATTACTTTCGCGAACATTTCCCTTCTCAGGAGAACAGGTGAAATACCAATAATGTCAGCACAATCCAGTCAGCAAGTCTGCCTGCCAGCCAATAATAAACTCATATCCCTCCACTGTGGTTCTCTGCACTCACAGCCAGCTCCTACCTGTCTTCCCCTTTCTATTTCCAGCCCATTCTCTCGCCATTGTTTAAGGGCGGTAATTGAAGGGCAGTTTGTTATGGTTGGTCCCAGATGTAACCTGCGCTCCAGGAGTTATTCTAGTGGGAGGTTGGAGATGGGAGTGACAGTGGCTTTCCTGTCAGCAGTTGATTTGTAGATTAGTGCCTTATACACACTCTCTGTTATAGGTGGGAGGGATGCTGTAGGTGGTGGCGTGCTTATGCAGGCTGAGATGGTCACGCTTGGCTGAACACATGAGACTCCAGCTGGGTTGAACAGCGAGCGGTACCTGGGCTATTCATCTGTGCCCAGACACAAGGCATGCACAAGCAGCTCAGAGCTCAAGACTCAGCAAGAGGAGCCAAGCTTGTGTTGACTCGTGCGGCAATCTGAGTGGAACTGACAGGCAGTGGGGCGCTCGCTGTGGTATCCGTGTGAGCTTTCATAGTACTCTGTAAACTGGTGTTGAGAGGAGGGCTAAAATGATAGGATCATCCATCAACAGAAATCATTTTGTTATCTCTAAAGCAATAGAACTACTGATGAAAACTAGTCTGCATTGCTAACTTTTCGCTTTCACACATTTGATGTGCAGTGTCCTATATTAAAGGTGCATTGACTTTTCTGATGGAGGGTCCACCACCAGCTTGTCTATTTGAAGATGTTACTGCTTTGTCAGTATGTCATTAAATTTAAATTAAGTATTTTATTTAATTACAGGTCTTTGTACTGCCTTGAATAACATGCATTATAACAGGGAGCTCACTTCTCCAGAGATCTGACCTATAACTATGCCTGGTGGTGTCAAATGTTTGTCTCCACAGAGTTAATGTAACATTTAATGCCAAAATGTGAAATATTCTAGGCAAAGCATTACAATCTCCATGGAGACCAGCACATTAGCTGACCTGTCACCACAGTTACACAGCGCACCTTTAAATAAAATAAAACAAAACATTTCCACAATTTGTCTTTATATTCTATGAGATAATTAGCTTACCCATGTTACACTTTTATTCATTACAAGACAAAAGACAAAACTACATTATAATTACTACCATCTCTTTAGCTTACTTTTAGTAGAAACTCCTTCATCTTGCTGCCCTTCTGTGATAGCTGGTTGCTTTCCTCTTTCAGAAGTTTGAGTCCAAATTCCACTGCAGCCTTCTTCTTCTGGGTTAGCAGTGCGGCCCATATTGCCCGATACAGTACAGTATTATCTTCTGTGAGTTTGCCTTTGGGGTTGTCTATCACCCCAACACGTACTCCACGGCTGACTTTCTGCTCTCACAGAACCATCAAAACACAGAGCAATTAGCACGATGAACTGCAGGGAGATACGCGTCAAGACAAAAATAAAGATTTATTTTACACTCTTCTACTTCCATTAAGTAGCCTCCATTGAAGGGTGCATTGTTAGTTTTTGTATAATTTTCTTTACTCATTAGAATCTGAAGCACTGTCCTGAAAATCAGGTTTAAAGTTTATTCATTTTGAGTGAATTAAAATGATTTTGGACTCACCACATGTTTCAAAGCATTGATTAACAGTTTTCTTCCTGAAACCTTGTCAAAATCCCCGACTACCCACATGGTCACAGCATTCACTTCATTTGAATCTGAAATGAAAAGCAGAACAATTACACTGAAAATAGAGCCGTAAAGTAGACCATAAATCGTGTTAAATCTATATTCTGTCAGTTAGGAGGTGACAATCAGACTAAGACGGACTCTGAGTCTCAGCAGGGAAATCTGGTTCTGATGACCATTTAGAGTGTTGGCCCAAAGCCAGACAGGAGGCAGCACAGCCAGCAATTACCTTGCTTGAGGCACAACCTGCCTGCCTTAACAAAGGTCAAATTTCACACTTTTTGGCGCCAGTAACCAAGAGCAGATTGAATTTTTGTTTTGTAGCATATTAGTCTCAGGCTTGGGTACTAAAATTTTGCTTTTTTCTTCAGTAGAAAGTCGTGAAAAGTATGCAAGATAGACCGTACACATAATATCAGTAATTACTAGTTAGCAGAAAAACACTATTTACATTTGTTCAAATATAAGGGGACTGAGAGAATCTCAGCAGTGGCCAAATGAAAATCATCAATCACTATTTAAACTCTATTCTTATAACCTTATAACTTTAGATTTTCCTTTATTATCAGTAAACCAAAATCATAACAATCAAAATAAATGAATAAATGGTAAAAAAAAAAAACATTTTACTTTACTTACTTTTTATTTTCCTTTTATAATAATTAGTAAAATACATTTTATTTTATGCATGTGCTACTCACCACTAGTTGAAAAGTATTTCATTTTTTTGGCCACTACAGCCGTTTTGTCTCTCGAGTCCAGATATGAAAACATAGTTGTATCCTCCCAGTCGTGTACAACTGCAGAGCAAAAGAAATGCACCAGTGAAGAAAGCAGCAGAGGTTGAATCAATACAGCCCAGGCTCAAAGTGCGTTACTTGGATTGGCGGTGAAGTCGAGGTACTTCCGGTCATTGCTTAAAATAATAGAGTTCATCCTGGGGACTACATTGGCTTGCTCCATCAGATAGTCAACCACATCAGTGCCTTCTGTCAACTGACCCTTGAAAGAGAGAAAAGATTGAGGATGTGAGTTTGGTATGCCTTCAGAAATGTCTGAATGTTGTTTTTGCTTTGGTACCATGAAAACAGCTCTCTGAAAGACGTTGGTGGTGTCCATAATGCGCTGCAGCAGGACAGTCTCCAGTTCGTCTGGGTCCATCTCATCTGGGCTGAGCGGGACTCCATTAAATAAAGCCAGAGGAAGAGCACCAAGGCCACTTTTCTTATAGAAGAGTGCTCCTTCCTAGCACAGGAAATACGAATTAAAGTGCTCAGGTAAAATGCTGTGATCACCTGTCAAATCTTTTTTTTTTTTTTAAACTTACTGGATGCTTAGCAAAACTGAAATACTGTTAAAAGTGCAGGGCAATTTGAATGGACCCCCCAGAAATTGGTTGTTTATGTCATGGATGTGGGTGATATGTAACCAAGAGCATGAGTTAATTTAAGCTAATTCCTGACCCACATACTTCGTTGTTCTATTCTTCATCACACCTTTCAATCTTAAAAGGTGCACTATGTAACTTTTCTGGTGGAAGGTTTGCTTGGAGATGTTATTGCTTTGTCTGGAATGTTCCACAGTACAGCTTACACTTATTTACCTCTTCATATTCAATAATAAGTGTTTTATTCTTTAAAAACATGCATTTTTAAGCTATAACTTTGTGGTTAAATACCTGAGGGGAGTCAGCTGCTTGCAAGGAGACTGATAAGTTTAATGCCACCTTCCCAACAAAGTAATAACATCTCCATAAAGACAAGCAGTTGACGGACCTTCCACTGGAAAAGTTGCATAGCAAAACTTTAACTCTTAGATTACTTTTTCTAACCAATTTCCTAAATAATGGACATGTTCTTCCAGTCATTTCATAAAGACAATTCAGCATCAACAAGTCATTTCATCACACAATTTTCACTCGCACCTAATATGTTTAGCCCATCTGTTAACCCGTCATTAAAGAGTGTTATTCAGTTCACCTGTCAAGAGGTCATATGTAAGAGATAAAATATTTATCTACCTTTCTTCTTTCATCGTATTCTGAATCCGGACCCAGTATCCTCTCTGCATTGGCTTTGGGGAATTTTCTCTTGAGGTAGGCAGAGATAGTATCCACAGAAAGCTGCTCCCCTGCATCTACTTTGTTGTACAGCTGTAAGAAGAAGACAGAACAAATTTGACTATCACCATCTTCCAATTCACTGCCACTATCAATAATTTCTATCTCAGTTTGAAAGGAAGAAATCCTGCTGACTCTTCTAGCTTAATAATGTCTCAATCCACAGCATAATACGAGGCATAGTAAAAAAGACTTCTGATGCGTAAGGGTATGGGACGAAAAACTTATTTTTCAACACTGCGCTTGCTAAAAAACTGATTTATGCATGCAATGTACTTACTGAGACTGTAGACAATAGGGCCTGGGATAAATCGTATTCTTCTGCAATGTAATTTAGCAGTCTGTAAAATCCCACCCCAGCGTCTGAGAAGCCATCAATCTCTTCTTTGGTGTTGACAACAAACACAAATCCAATCCTACACAAGGCAAAAACAAGTATTCAATTTGCAGGTGATAGGAGAATTACGACAGGGCAGATTATAAATACTAGAGGTGAGACATACAGACAGGTGTAAAAGGTGGAAGAATTACCAGCACTAACCTCAGGGGAATCTTGTGCTTGTAAAAAAGCTCTGCCAGTTTCATTAGCTCCACGCTCTCCTCCTGGACTGGATCAAGGAACAAGACCTGACAAAACCAGATAAATAACTTCAGTCACAAAAGTACACCAACTTTTGGACAGCATTTGAGAGACACCGTTTCTAAGGATCATTCAGTAGTAGCTTAGTGCAAAGTTTAAAGGTTGATCAAGTCTAATTCATGGCTTTAAATCCTGCAATGTTTTAATGAGGTTCCGGATGCTAATTTTACTGCTGATTAGGGTTAGCGTTAACAAAGACAACAAAAATGTCTGTTACTGTTCTCATTTCCAAATTATGGTTTATGTTGTCAATCAATCTTTATTTATAGAGCCGTTAACAGCACACAAGGTGACCAAGGTGCTTTCCAATAAAATCAACACGATATAAAAACACGCAAAAACATTAAATAAAGAAGTAAAACAAATTGTGCAAAGTGTCACTGCATTACTGAGTGTTGAAAGCCAGTCCAAATAGATAAGTTTATGAAAGTCTATGAAAGTGCACATATGGTGGGGCCATTGTATTGCGAATGAAATACTGTTTGCAGAAATGTATTAATTCTTTCAGTGAACTGCATCTTACCAGGTTAAAGAAATTGCGTCTGATCTGTCGGATGACTCCAGGAAATGTGGCTCTGAGGAGCTCTTGTACTCCCGATGGCCAGCTGCGGTACATTGGGTCATTCTCAATGTCATTAAACCACTGGCAAACAGAAAGGCAAAAGAGGAGTGAAAAAACACGAGTTAAGTAACCTTCACAGCACCAAGGGTATGTAAATATTATGATACTAGAATATTTATGACACTTACAAACACATACATAAATATTTCCTGGGGGTGTGAAGCTAACTGAAAGCACTACTCTGTTAGAAGCTCTGTTTTCAGGCTATCTTAAAACTTTTTGGCAGTGTTTGTTTATGTGTGCCTTGTGTCGCCATGGTAACTGCTGAACATTAGAGAGATAGAGATACATGCAGAAGACCCCCACTGTGAAGGCACTGCAAAGTATCAACTACCGCATGAGGATGTAATACAGACAGAAACAATTCTTATTTAACACAATTTACTAGAAATGATCATGTATGAAAAAAGGCCCACATAAAATCTTCTCTCAAGACGACTCTGCGGTCTAATATAATTGTACGATTCCATGCTGTGTCCTGCTTTTGTGAAGTAAGTACGTCTCATTTCTGTAGCAATGACATGTGCGTATAAAAGTACCATTTGCATAATCAATAGCTCCAAAGAGACATTTCAGCCACACACAGGTTAGAAATCTTATTGTCCTTAAGTACACGATAATGAATGAAAAGCTTTCCTTGGCCAACTTTCTCTTTAATAATTCAACTTTCTGTAATCCTCGGGGCTACGGCAATAACCTTATCCCAGATCTAATTTTCACTCCAAGAATAAGGACACGACTTACCATTATAGCTGGATCTCTGATGTCTAGGGCATAACTATCGTCCACATGGCTCACAGGTAATCTTAGCAGTTTGGCTTGATGCTCCCCTTTTATGCCTAGATTATGAAGCCCCTCTAAAACCTTAGCCTCTCCTCTGAGGATATCCAAAATGCTGTAAAAAAAAAGATTACACAAACTTGAGGAATTGTACTCTTGTTACTATAAGAAGTAATGGGGCAGATAGCCAGCTGATCTTTGCTATCATCCCCCTACCTGAATGGGTTGTGAACGTCCAGATCAATATGAAGCCCATTGATAAAGAGCTCTCCGTCTCCAGGGTGCACGCCAACAGTCTCACTGAGGTGCTTAAAAAACAAACAAAAGCAGGCAGTTGAATGCTTAAAGCTCTAAATGAGTAATTCTATGTTTAATCACGGCTGTTTCAATAAGAAAGATAAGCATGGGGAGCACAGCATGACTCATAAAGCTAAAGACAGTCCAGAGATGCAGGGGAAATTAACAATAAAAATTTACTGCAGTGCAGTTGAGAAATAATATCCTTTAGATAATAGATTACAGGCCTGCTTGCTAATATTGTGCTAAGGCAATAATAAAACAATAGTGGACTTCTATGTGAGATGCTGCTTATGATATCAGACCTTTTGGTTCTCCTCAATTTCTTTTCTCATTTCCTGTTTTACTGCCACCCTTGTCAGTGATCTGTGGAAACAGTAAAACACGTATACAGTTACACTCAGCTTTTAGCACATCCCCAGCCGCTAGTAAAATGCCAGTTTTAATCTCTAAAAAAGTGCAGGCTCTCAAGATGGTTGCAGTCAATTCCCCTGTAAACACCTGATGCTTACTCAGCACAATTTTGGCATTTTTATAAGCTGCTTGTGCAAAAAAAAGCAAACATCAAAAAGATGGATGACATCTGCGCATATAAAAGTGTGTTCATTGTGCAGCCCATAAGTGCCTTTGGATTGATTAATCATATCCAAACAAATGCAAAAGTCTATACCCAAGTCTATAAAACAATACTCTGGGTGCATTTGAATAAAGCCAGAGGATTCCCATAGGTTGTATATAATGCAGAAAAATAAACACATTATATTTTAAATAATAAATGGGCTCATTATAATTCAGCAAACAGTCAAAGCTCTGCTCTCCTACCTCGCTTTACTTGGAAAGTTTTGACTCAGGTCTTGCATTATCTTCAGAGTATCAAACTTCGGTGCAGAAAGGATTTTAGTAGCAGCTTGAAAACTCAAATCTGTAAAGGAGAAGCAATTGACATATTATGATATTGAGGTTGTAAGTAAATAGATTAATAGCTTAAACTAAATAACATAATAATAATGCATTGGATTCATATAGTTCCTTTCAAAGTAGCAATAGCGCTTTACAGTGCACTATTTATTAATTTCTTGGTGGTGGTGGTGGTAAGGTACTATTGTTAGCCACAACTGCCCAGGAGTCATCAGCGCCTCCAGCCCCCACCACCAATCACTCACTTACATACCATATTCATACTAGGTGGGTGTCTTGCCTAAAGACACAAAGACATAATACACAAGAGCGACTAACATCTCACTGCTAAACTAATACACAAAAACTCAAAGAACGTATAGATAAACACAACATTAAGATGAAATGTTACCTTGAAGTTCCCACACTTTGAGTGGAGCCAGGTCATTCATGCTCTCAAGGAGATGTTTACGCAGTTCACCAAGTTCTTCCTTCAGTTCTGGGTGAGCTTTCCTTGGAAAATAAAAAATTAAATCCTTTAGTCAAGCATCAACCCATGTTATAGCAAAAATATAAAGCATTTCTGATCAACATCACAGTGAATAGCTTACTTTAAAGTCCCAAACAGAAAACCTTGAACTTCATCATTTCCATCATCGTCACCAGCCAAAGGTGCCCTCGAGTCTAAAAAGCAATCATTTGTACAGCGTTGCTTTAATTGCATATGCATTTGAATAGTTAATTTGATAGTTCAGTGAGTCACCTTTAACTTGAGTGTCATCCACAGCTTTGTATTCAGTGCTTTTGATAGCCAGCTCCACACCATACCCAGACAGAAGCATGGGTTTAGGCTGTGATTTCTGTAACAGAGCCACAAAAAGCAAATCAAGTCAGTGGGAATGTGATAATTACCAGTGTTATTTAAAGTTGCACTGCTGTTTTGATGGTACCTGCTTGTCTTCATGGAGATGTTAATGCTTTTCCTTAATCATATTCATCTCGCATTATTCATTATGGGTGTTTCTATTGCTCTGTGAATAGGGGCGACTCTCCACAGATCTGAATAGTAATACAGTGTAGCGCTATAAATTGCTTGTCTCCCTTGTGATCGATAGGTTTAATCTGTGGAACATTCTACGCAAAGCAAAAACATTTCCGTGAAGACGAGCAGGTGGCGGATCTTCTACTAGAAATATTACACAGTGCACCTTTAATCATCTAAAACAAACGAAAATGGTGGTATACAGCAAATGGGCACTCCAAAGACTTTTCAAAGGAACCCTACACCCACTCACATACACTTTCACGTACAGAGACACTAGGGACGAGGCGGGTAAAGTGTTTTGGGATTCAAGAGGCCAACCATCAGATCAGTGGAAGAACACTATCAACTGAGCCACTGCCCCTCCATATTATCATCCTTCCCCAGCCTACATACACAGAGAAAGAACTGCAAGCTAGGAAGCAGATGACTTGCAGCAGTAATCCAAGAAGAGAAAAAACAGAGACACAGCGGAAATTGCAATATCAACAATTGAATAACACTGAAATAAACAACACGAGAAGAATTATACGCAAATATATCAGAATGATCCTATCTCACACTGCTAACAAATTTGCATTCAGATCAATCCTGAAATTGCAGAGCATCTAATTCAGGAGTTTGTCTGTGTAATCCTCCAACTGCCCAGATATGATCCATAGCAAAAGAAAGTCCACCAGCAATCTGACCAGAACTGAAGAAGTCGCTTAGTGTGTTTTTTCTGGTTGGCCGAAGATAAAGCCAATAATACCTACAGATGCAACAGGGTGTGGCAAGTAGAAGTACAAGTAGACAAAAGCTCAATCTGGCCAAAACATTACTTAGAATTATGCTGTGAGGCCAGCAAATTTACTTTTCACTTTTTGGCAAAGGCATTATCTGTCTAGTGCAACTGCATGTGAACAACACAAGCTTGCCATTCAGTAAAATGATGAATTACACTTCAGTACTAGGGTAAAATCCAGGTTTCACAGATGCCAGCTGCACAATTAATAGGTCTGGGACTGCGACTATGGTTTTGTCCCTAAAAGATGACCTTAATGACAAAGTGGCATGGAAAGCTAACCTGAAAACAACCATTTGGACTACAGCCAAGAGCATAGCAGCCCAGCACTATTGAGTACACACAGTTTCTTGTTTGGTGTTCAACTTTATTTTTCTATTCGATTACTAGTTTAACAAAATTGTTTGCCAGCAACATGAAACACACAAGGACTTCTCCACACACTGCAGCAGATTTACTGACATTTAACCTTGGCACTTTTGTTCACCGAGATTCAAAGAAATGCCTGAGCTTTTACTCCCACTCGCTCTGCTTCTTCCAGCACGTGTCTTCAAGAAAAAAGCCTTCAACAAGCATCTATAGCCCAAGCTTTTAGTTGGCCACAAACATTTCAGGAGAATTGCCGGTTTATAGGAAAGGACTTATTGAAAAAGGACTGAGGGGGCAGAAGTATATCAGTTTGGTGAAAGATACATACAGAAAAGGAGTAGCTTGTTTTTGTCATACACCATGTAAATGTAAACGCAATTGAATGTAAATAAACGGAAAACTAGTACTGTCACGATAACAGATTTTGAAGCATGACATATCACTATAGAAATATATTGCAATATACAATCATATTTAAACTACTTTATACCAGTTACACAAAGCAAGATAATACCAGTAAAACCAGTTTTTAAATAGACAGTATCATTAAAAAGCCTGTGCTGCAACAAATAAATGGCAGAATGAAACAATTCAGATCTAATTAGCCATAGAAGTTATTTATTCTAGCCTCTACAGCTCAAATCTTACATTATTACATAAAAACGGCAACCTCCCACCACTATTGCAAAGAAAAAGTGCCCACAATAAATAGGCAGTGTCCACCAGAAATCTGACCAGAACTGAAGAAGCAGCTTGGATCAAAAACATTTGTCCAGTTGACAGAATTGAATTTCTCTTTTGCTATTAATGGAGGTCAGAGCAGTGAATGCTGTCTTTCAAACAGGGGAAGCTCTTAACCTTTTAATATCCTATTATTTAACAGATTGCAAACTGCATTAAAAAAGTGTCCACAATAAATACCAAGTCCCAAAATATATTCTTCCAGCTATCATATATTGAACAATAAGTCAATATAGCAATTATCGTGACAGACTTATGGAAAATAGCTACTTACTTCTATATAATGCCGAAGCACATACAAAAGTGTGCCCTCCTCTGCCTTCTCAGACAACACCTTGTGAAACGATGTAAACTTCTTGGTCCCAATTTCAGCGTACAAGACCACAATAGGCACTTCGGTTTTATTTCCACCAGGGTATATATGATCATCTTTGTATAAGTAAGGTTTTGGCCTGCAAACATGTAAGAATTCAGACAAACTCCAAAACAAAATACAAAATTGGTACTTTGTCATCACATATTTTCTATCAGTAAACTCCATCTATCTCTGCAGTTAAAAGCCCCCCCTTTGTTACCTGCCTGCAGCTGCCTTCAGGAGCTTCTTTATGTCCTTGGGGCTACAGGTGTGCTGGCTATGGACAGACACAAATGCAGTGCAGTCGTCAGGAGGAGGTTCATCACTTGCAATCTGTGAGAAGAAAAAATTATGAACAATTAAACTAAATGAAAACTTGCACATCATTTTTGTTAGTGAGTCACCCCTAACTCTCCCCCCCTCTATGTATTTAATGTATTTACTGTATCATTTTATTTTCCTGGATGGTACATAAAAATTTCACTACACACTGGACTGGCATTTGTGGATGCGGCAAATAAAGAAAACTTAACAATTGTAAAATATGTTAATAGCCATAGTGTTATCTCTTGGCTCTTCAAAGAGTTTTCATGAAAAATTTAAATAGCTTTTAATTTATTACTTAAAATGTCATATAAGATAAAATTATGGTGAAATTGGTATTACATTATATTTGCTTTATTAAAGCAAATTAAGGTGTGGTTATTATAAAGTAGTACCAGATTTGAATACATAGATGAACAAAGTACAATAACCTTGAATTAAATTTAAGTGTTTGAAAACAAAACTTTGATCCCATCAATTTTTGTTTCTTTTTTTTTTACCTAAAAGACCATGATAAAACATGAATGTTTTGACAGTCAGTGATGCTGAATGAAGGAACCCTGATTATCTCAATTATTTTTTCATTACTTCTTTTGAAATCACTTTAATCAAGTTTAATCATCAGCCCAGGGTTTTTCATGTGTGGATCAATTGGACATAATTATCAGTCTACAGTTGATTTGAGAAAAAGTGCTGTTGAGAGAAAATGAGTTATTGATGCGAAATATTACACACAGTTTCATACAACAGTTATCTAACAAGATACTTTTCAGGGCACCATGTAACTTTTACTTCAGAAATATGTGCTTGTGTTTGCTTGTATGAAAGTGATACAGTAATGCTATTTTCAAAAGAAATGGCCATTATTACTCAAAACTTTATTTTTTGCACACACTGGATAATTATGATTTTATATGTTTGCTAATATGACCCAGGCACAGTTCACACGTAGTAAAGTTTAATAACCCTAGTCAACAAACAGAAACTAAACAAGAAGGTGTGTTAGTTTCAGGGTAGTTTCAGTATAGTTAGCGCTTCATTTCAGGCAGATATAAAGCTGTGTCCACCAGAAATCTGACCAGAATTGAAGAAGCAGCTCGAATGAACCATGAAATGTCTTAGACAAAAACATTTGTCCAAACTGACAGAACTGAATTTCTCTTTTGCTATTAATCGAAGTCAGAGCAGTGAATGCTAGTCTTTCAAACAGGGGAAGCTCTTAACATTTTAATATCCTCTTATCAGATTAAATTACATTTGTATAAATATGTCATCTAATTTTAATAGTTTTTTTAACAATGCCGGTTGTTTAATTGCACAATAACATTGCTTTGCAAGTAATAAAGTCAGGAGTAAACTTGTTTTATAAGAATCCTAGATTTCATAATTTTGGGGAAAAATATTAAAATAAAAAATTAATTTAATTTAATTAAATCTTGATTATTGAAAACACAACCCCTCTCTGTGACCATCCCCACTCTTCAGTAACTATCTTTTCAGTGTTTGACTACATACCTGCTGGGATGCGTGGACCGCTGGGGAGTAGGTTCGTAATGACAAAGCAAATTTGAGGAGATTAACTTGGAGGTCCGTGAGGAACTGGCCAGCTTTTTTAACAATCAGATTGAAGTAGGACCGCACAGACTCTACAATTAACAACGTCAATGTGTTAAAGACCATTCAAATACACAAGTTTGGATAGTATAATATTGGTTAACACAGCACAAACTGTTTTTGTAAGTTATGATACAGTCACTACAACAGCTACAAGAAGCAGTTAAATCTTACCTCCTTGCTTGTAAACAGTGAGCTCTTTCACAGTGTCAACAAACTGCCAGAATTTTTCATTTCCATCTTCCCCGACAAATTCACTACACAACAAATAAATGAGACACAGTAAACAACAAGTAGCTTTTGCTGTTAAATGTACATTGTTACTGAATACACTACTACCCCCAAAGACATGCAGCTATCTATAATTACACATGATGAGTCACAACTGCAATCAAGGGAAGTAGCCACAAGGATAATGTACCATTTCTGAAGAAAATCCACAAATGTTTCCACTTTCCTCTAATGCTGTTTATGCATCAAGGCTAAAAAGGTGTTAAAAGATCCCTCTGTTAACCTTTAGTTAATGTAGACTCTAAATATAACTAGCATGGTATTAGGTAATAGCTTTAAAGGGCCAATATTCCGTTATTTTCTGATCAAATAAAACATCCCTGAACTCATGTTTTATTTCATTCACAAATCCTGCATATTTAGGCTAAATTCTTCTTTCAAAGTTCTTCTTTCCAAGTTCTTCTCTCAAACAGAAAACACTCCTTTCCTCCTTGTGATGTCATGTGGTAATAAAAGAAGTGCTCTACTGAACAATAGGTAAAAGGTGTTAACTCGAAAACTACCATAACATGACATCACAAGGTGGAGCAGAGCATTTTGTGCTTTGGAGATGTGGACAAATAAAGGGTTTCTCAACCATGATTGGATGAAACAAAACACAACTCCATGTATGTTTTTTGAGGAGATAACAACATTATAAAATGGCTTAAAGCTCACCAGAATAAATTTTGTGTAACAGGACCTTTAATTGTTATTTTTTTAATGCCTGGTAGCTGTCCTAAATTATTATGATGATGGCTGATTGAAATAGGACACACATCTATTGCGTGACTTAAATTGAGTGGACCCCTTTACCATGTTTCCAATAGAAATGGGGTCATGCTCCACTTGGCTTTGAGACTTGCACTGACGCCTTTGGATGAGGTGGCATGTTGGGGGCTCAGCAGAAGCAGCAGCAGCAGTAACGACACAACACGGTTTCTCATTGTGGCCGTCACGGAGTGGTAATCTGAAACTACACGGTAACAAAGTCAGCAGGGGGGTCAAATCACTGTGCCACGATACGAGACTGCCACGTAGTAAGACGACTCTTAATTGACGCCACTAATATCAGTAGAAGTGTGCAGTATCAAGTCCAAGAGATTAGGAAACGACATTGATAATAGCCCATTATCAAATCCACAAAGCGCAATAACGCACCATTTATGTCGCTTTGGAAAGGCTGGAGGTAGAACGTTTGGGTTGTAGCTGGAGCGTATGGGCTAACGGTGCGCACATTGTACGCGAAAACCCGAAATCTAATATATTATAACATTCATAATTTTTGAGAGTCGTTAATAAGTGTAGCGAAATCTAAAACAAATCGTACCACTACACTGTTACCAGTAATATACGGTCTTACCCCGCTGTGGATGCTGACCGCTCCATACAAAGCGAGGGGCTTCAGATATTTTGGGAAAGAGTTAGCACGCATAGCTCGTCCTGCTAGCAAGTCAGAGTCTGAGATTCTCTATTTCCAATCACAACTTTGTGCTAAAAGCCGCTGATAAATACAGCGTGTCTTTTCGCGATACACGTTGCATTGATGCAATCAAAGCAGTGCGTAATGATGGATAACAAGTGAGAGAGGACGGATTTTAGTCAGGCGCGGCTTTGGACACCTAAGAATCTAGATTTACAGTTTGAACATTTTCCCACTCAACAACCAACAAAAGTTGTGCTTCATCTTTCGTCCATCAGCTCAAGAATAAACACACATAGCCTACATAAAATACTGTAGACTACTGAATAGATTATGCATAGCCCATAGTTTTATTTATTTATAGGCTACAATTTTTTAGTAGTTTTGTCTGTTTCCTTAGACAATATTTATGGAAGAATTAACCAATTAATCAATTTATTCATTCATCCAGTCATTCATTAAGCTGTTTTGTCTTTAGATTTTGTTTTAGTATACCCATAGGGTGGTGTTGATCAAACTTATGAGTTGGTTGATTGATTGAAGAGAAAAATTGTGAAAAAATAAATAAAAATACAGAAAATCATCCATATTTCCAACTAGGCTGATAGGCATATAACCTAAGAGAACCATCTTCTGACTAAATTACAAAACGTTTATCTTATTTGAATGAACGAACAAAATTATAAAACAAAATTATAACTATTTTGTGCGTAATTTACGCACATACTTAGAATCTACTGTGCGTCCCGTCTGGCTGGATTGTGATGGGACAGAGATGATGATTGGGATGTGGAGTTCCCCAGCCCAGCGGCGACGAGAGCACAACGCCTTTGTGAGCTGGATGCTGCTGCCTCTAAAAACGCTCTGCTCCGCGCAGTCTGTCAGATCTGCTTCAGGACGAGGCTAGAGGATGCTGCCCGAGGATCCACGTTTATTGCGATCTTTCTAAAGGAAGGTCTGTCACCAAAACGATCTTTGATGTGATTTAAACTGTGATGTTGTTATCTCCTGTGAAATAATTCGCCGCTTCCCCGTTTTGAACTTGATGCCGGAGCATGGGAGTCGTCAGGACAGATGCTGCGTTCCGCTTTAGAAGTTGGACTGCCAAATCATTCCAGCGAATGCGTCTTGACTTTGGAAAAGCTTTGCAGCACAGTGCAGTTTTTCGGGAAGTAGGTAGATTTGGCGGTGTTTTGTATGATTGTGCGTAATCAACATGTGGCACCTTTTGGGTACGAGGATAACCCACTCCCAAGAAGCATGTGCTAGTTGTTTACAGTAAGGAGATGAAGACAATATCTTGATATAATGGATGAGAGATCCAGTAAGCTCATCTTGGTCCCCATTTTAGCCGTTCTTTTTGTTATGATAGGCTATCAATATATATGCCCCACTGGCAGCAATTCATGCCATTTCAAGACTGGGGAGAAATTACGAGGGGTGAGCCTCCTTTCCAGCGCCTACGAAGATGATGATTTTTACCGGGATCAAGACCTGGAGGAAGACAGCCCTCCTAAAGCTCCCTCTAAGTTTAACTTCACTGAAAGAGACTTGGACAGACATGTGGAGTTCAACATCAAAGGGGACGATGTGATTGTGTTTTTGCACATCCAGAAGGAGGAACCACTTTCGGAAGGCATTTGGTGAGGAATATCCGTTTGGAGCAACCGTGTGACTGTAAACCCGGGCAAAAGAAGTGCACCTGCCACCGGCCAGGGAAGGAGGAGTCGTGGCTCTTCTCGCGCTTCTCTACGGGCTGGAGCTGCGGCTTGCATGCGGATTGGACCGAGCTGACGAACTGTGTACCTGTCATTATGGATAAGAAGGAAGCCCAGAGGAATAAAAGGTACAGTAGTAGAACACGCTCTCCAGTCCTGCTTGCATGCTGAGCTTAATAAAGTGCTTAGTGTGTCCAAACCATTATGTCAGTAGGAGTAAAAATGCAGGACCTTTCTACAGTTCAACTACACTGTATTCTATTTTAAAATTACTGCATAATGTTACAATAAGTATCTGACAGTCATACTACCTTTCAATAGCCTATAGAGGGTTGTGGGTTTAATGCCCTAGCCAAATATGATCTCTCTTACAATTAAAAGCCCCAAGGCAAGGTTTATCTCCTGTTATCCTATTCTTTCCACAATCCATAAATCCATAAATCCATTGGTGTCTCTAAACTCACTACTCCATTTGAATAAATGTGATTTTTTACTGCATGTCTGGGTTAGCCATGCACATGAATATGAACCTGCACACTCACATTAAGACCCAATAATGATAAATAATCACTTTTCATTACTTTTCTGCCACATCTTTTCATCATAAGTATTAGACTCAATGTGTGAATTTATGCTTTTCTGTCTGCATTGCAATCTAACCAGGCTTTGACCACAGTCTATCACCCCACCCAAGGCCCATAGTTGATGCGATATGGAGTAGTTCACCCACAATCCCTAATGGAATGGAAATTAATCAAGATGAATAGCCTGATATGGGTAATTATAATATCAGGAACAATATGCATCCACTGACATTAGCTCTGCCCCAGTGTTGGATGCCAGTATTTTGACAGCCCTCCCTGACAGCCGTATTCCAGCTCGGTTAATGTTGTGTGATCTTGTCCTTCCCCGTGTGCCACTGCCACTGCTGTGTTGGTGAACCGCCTGTCCGAATATTTTAGCACCCTGTTGTGATTTTATTTGTCACCAGATCAAAGCTCCATTTGTACCTGCTAAAAAACGGAATACGATTAAGCGCACGCACACACACCCTGAATGATTTGAAAGGCCACTGATTCCTTTTCATCTCGGTACGGCTGAGGTGTATCTGTCTCTATCAAACGGGAGAGCGCTGGGTGACCCTGCTATACCTGTGTTAGTTCACCTGCAAGTCCAATTGCTGCTATAGCCCAGGCTTACAGAGTCCTTTGAAATGTTTGTTTATTTCAAGTCAGGATTTACACATTGCAAGGTGTAGATGTGCAAGAAAACTGATTTTTGCTCAGAGCTTTTGATGTTCAAGGCTGAATGCATGAAAAGGGCCTACATTTTGTATAATTTTTGTATGATTATACCATTATATATCACAGCTTACCATGATCAGTGGGTTAAGGTGATCCTGAAGTAAGAGTTTGCTTGTTAGTTACTCTTTTGCAACTACATTTTAAGATTTCAAAGATTTATATAACTGAGAAAATTCTTTCACTTCCATAAGTTTAGAATAAGTCAGAGCTATTTTTGTTATCTAATGCCCCTTGAAGTAACATTTTGCTTGTTAGTTACTCTTTTGTAACTAAATAAATTCTTAGATTTTTTAAGATTTCCATAACTCCATAAATGAGAAATGAATAAGATATACGACAGGACATGGCACACTCAAGTTGTTTCCTTAATTCTTTCACTTTCATAAGTCTTGAGTCATAAGTCTCTCCTTGCGTTTTGTGCAAGTTACAGCAATTTTTGTAATCTAATGTCCCATCTGCATCTCAACTGAACTTAAATCACAATTTTCACATAACCACTGTCCACTTCTCTGTCCATTCAAGTATTAAAAACTCAATTAACGTAATACGCAAACGTTGTTAGAAGCACCGAATAGAAAATGCTGCGACTAGACACTTTTAAGTCCATACTGGAAGATTGCAAAAGCACCTCTCCTTTTTTCCTCCTAAACATAATCATGCAGTGAAGTAAAAAGAACATGAGTACACATTATATTTGTGCTGTGCCAAGTGTTTCCTTTCCTTCACTGTGGGCGAGGAAGAGTGGCCAGTACGCGACAGCTCTTCATTTCACAGCTGTACCATCCTCTGTGCACTTACGGCTCTCATCCCCTGTTCTTTGGCTATTCTCAGATGAGTCTCCCAGTGCCGAGGCCCGACTTGGCACACACTGAATGTTAGACCACCTCACTAAACAGCCACCGAGCAAGGCGCTTTTACTGCCGGGTGACTAATGGCGTTATGCAAATTTTATCTCCATATCCATTTTGTGTATGAGCTGTACCTTAATTAAATATAGAGACAAGTATAGGGAGTCTAGCGTGGTGAAATAAGTTGTTTTGATGTAAAGGAATTGGATGCATTCAAGATGAAATACATGGGTTGTAGTGGGGGTAAAGGCAATTTTGGATGCTTTAATTCTCAAGTTTTATATTTTATTAAAAGTAAGGTTATGTTTTTGTTGCTGTGGGAATCATAGACTGAATTGGACGAAGTGAGTGTGACGTCACCCATAGCGTTCATCTCCAGTCAAATAAAGCTCATGAGGCTAGCAGTTATAGGAGTGGATTTGGAGCTCCATATTTAGGAATAGGAATTCATTTAGGGACAAAATAGCGAAATAAAAATACTAGTATTATGTAGAGCGGGTTAATACGAATACAGCATTTACAGACAGAGGGGTGACAATTTTTTTATGTAAAGTCAATTGGAATGGAGGAGGCAGAAGTGCCCCTATAGTCTCTGTTTGGAATACACTTTCTGGGTAAAAAAGATAGCTACTGTAAATCCTATATACATTTTAGCATTAGACAGTATTTCTAAAAAAGTATTTCTTTGTTAATTGCAGATTAAGTAGCTGTCTGTCATAGTGATGGAAGGCAAGTAGCTGGAAGTTGTAGGTGTTTAGAACACATTTAATAGTGATGACATTTGCTAATTAATCTTGATATCCACTTAATCAAATATGCCAGAGTCAAATCTAGTGTTTTCAATCAATATAAAGGCTGAAGAAACAAATGCACGAAGTTTCCATTTCCACCTCAGGGCGCTGCTATGAGGAATACTGATGCTCCGTCAGTGCCAGTATCAGATGGCACAGGCTTGTTTTGCGGCTGGGTGCTTCTCAGATTGAACGCCTGTCTCTCTGTGGTTGCCGTGGTTCCCCTCGCCGGTCTGGGACATTAGGATTGGGGTGGGGCAGCTTTGGCCTGTCACGATAGCAAATTTTGAAGCACGGTATTTTGTTACAGAGTTATACCGCGATAAATGATAATACTGAAAATACTTTATGCCACTGATACAATAAAAAAAACAGGATAATTCCAGTAAACCATTTTTATTAATTTATATTGCATGAAGTTGACTCTTGTGAGCTTTAAGCCAAGTTAGAATATTGTTACCTCATCAAAAAACATACCTAGAGTCGTGTTTTGTTTCATTCACACATGCCTGAGTAAATCTTTATTATTAGTCTGTCTACAGGGCCCAAGCTCAAAATGCTGTGTTCCACCTTGTGATGTCATGAAGCTGGGGTTTTCAAGTTAACAGCTCCTTTTACCTTTTGGTTAGTAGAGATTGGCAATTCCAGGTATGAAATTATCCAAATTATTTTAATTAATGTGTATGAAGTTTAAAAACACAATGGAGCTCTTTCTGTATTACCACATGACATCACAAGGTGAAACTGTGTGTTTTCTGTTTGAGAGAAGAACTCAGCCGAAATATGCAGGGTTTTTGTTAAACATGTTTGAATAAAACAACTGTTTGTGATGATACAACATTAACATAAATCAGAAAATAGTGTGATATGAGCCCTTTAAAAATGTCATAGGGTAAACCATATAAAACAGAGAGAGAAACGTGTGAATAAAACAAAACACAACTCCAGGTGTGTTTGTGATGAAACATTATAACGTAGATCAGAAAATAGTGTAATACAGGCCCTGTAAAAAGTCTGAGCTACAACATATAAATAGCAGAAAACCTCCCCGCTGTTGCAACAAAAATATGCATACGATATATACTGAGCCCCAAAATATCTTGTTCCAGCTTTCATATATTGAACGATACATCAATACAGTAATTATAGTGGCAGGGCAGCTGTAGAACATCTGCGTGGCTCTGTTTGGCCTTTTCAGCAGAAGTCAAAGCAAGAGCCACCCTCACCCCCTGCCCCGCTGCCCCCCTGCCCCTTCAAAGGTCAGATATGTCATAGTGGTGTGGATCCTCTAGAGGCATCTGTCATTCAGGGAGAAGTGGAGCCAGCACAAACACTTTTCTTTGGAGGCTTTTTTTGATGGAGAAAGTCCAGTAAGCGCTGGGCTTTCAAGTCCTGGTGCTAGTACTTCGCCTGTTGAATTGAAATGTCCTGCTGTGCTGAGAAAGCAGGGCTGAACACAAGAGAGCTGCCAAGGTAAATTTAAGTTGCAGAAAGGGGCTGTTTAAAAGACACAGATTTATAGATCATTGTATTGTGAGGAGGTTCATTTTATCATATGCTCTTTGTAAGGCTGTCATGCTTTTTCTGCGTGTCCCAGTCACTAAATGTCCCCAACACAAGCAAACCACTAATGGTCACTTATACACTTTGTTGGCATATTTTGATAATCATAACTGTCATCTGGAGTATACAGACTCTAAAAGACAAGACTGTGGTATTATTAAATCAAAATATCAAAATGGAATAAAAATTTAAATTTACACTTTAATAATAATACACTTTATTCTTAAATATTCTCAAGTTCAGTCACAATATTTTAACATGTTAAAATTTAAAGTTACAGTAAAAGCAATCATTTGAAAAATAAGCACTGATTAATTAACTACAAAGTAGTGGTAGAACCAGGTAGAACCAACAATCCTATAACATTATAGCTGGGGCTAAATTAGAATAAGTGTTATAGTTGACTATTAAAATCCTTGTAATTGTTTGATAATTCTAGTCAACTGGACTATAAAGACTCTAAAATATATTCCACAAAATATTTTAAAGACAAGTCAAAAAGATGAAATGTCAAAAAGAAATAAAAGAACAATTTCTGATTTTCATCAATAATTCACTTTGCTCAAAAATATTTTCTAAACAGGAGCCCTCAGTCACCACATTTCAACCTTTATTTGACCAA